GAGTAAAATTTCGCGACGCATGCATTTTATCGACCATGAATTTCATCGAAACGTTCTATCTACAGGAATTTATTTCTCTCCAATACAAAACGCAGCTGCGCAATAAAATCATAATTGGATCGTGATGTACAATTATCTTAAATTTCCGTAACAGAGATTCGGCTATTCTCCATTGAAAAATGCTACATCGTGTTTTATTTATTTTAAAGTTTTCGTCCCTCGCTTCGGCGGAGCCGAGCTGCAAATCGATTTCTTCTCTTACAAGACTAAGAAGACTACTTCCGTGGTGAATACGAACGAGAAAAAAGAAACGTATAAATGAGAAAAAATAATGTAATCGAATCAAAAAGTTCGCTTGCTTTTTCTCGTTCCTACGTAGCTTGGTCCACGAAGAAGCGCTTCCCCGCTGTCGAAAAAGATTGGGAAGTCTATTTTTCTCTCTCTATTACAATATTTCTTTCATCACGCTTCAGCTGGCTGTCTGATCGCTCGCTATTTTTTCTATCGACTATCTACCCGTTGTGGGTACGATAATTCGATTGTTTTTTTTAAAGGAATCTTTTTTGGAGTCTCACTAGTGTCCCTGAAATAAAGGGGAGTTGATTCTGAATAAAATTTTCCTTTGCAGAAATTGGATTCGAAGCTTCGTTTTTGAATTATTAAGACGGAAGACATGGACCAATCAGAGCGCGAGGATTATTACGCGTTGAACTACTACGCGTCGAATATCCATGCGTTGGATTACTACGCGTTGGATATCCACATGCTGGATTACTACGCGTTAGATTACCACGCATTAGATTCCTACGCTTAGAATTACAATGCGTTGCATTATTACGCGTTATATTACTACGCGTGGAATATGCAAGCGCTAGATTACTACGCGTTGGATATCCACACGCTGTATTAGTACGCGTTGGATTACTGCGCATTGGATTACTACGCGTAGGATTACCACGCGTTGCATTACCGCACGTTGCATTACTACGCGTTGGATTACCACGCGTTGGATATCCACATGCTGGATTACTACGCGTTAGATTACCACGCATTAGATTCCTACTCTTAGAATTACCACGCGTTGCATTATTACGCGTTATCCGAAGCCGTCTGCGTCTGCGCGCGCATCGCGCTCTGATTGGTCCATGTTTCTCCTTAATAATTAAAAAACGAGGCTTCGAATCCCATTTCTGCAAAGGGAAATTTTACTCAAAATCAACTCCTCATTTTAGAGACACTAAGACACCCTGTATAGTTAATCGAGGTAATTAATTCTCACAGGGAATTAATCACATCGATTTACAATTTCGATCGATGGATCGACTCGATCTTGTATTGCCTCGAGGACCCCCCTCAATCAAGGAGGATCTACGAGTTTAACAGTTCAGAATACTTTATTCTAAGGGCGCATACACGATCGTAAAATTCGAAGAATCTATGACTAGGAATAGAAATTAAATAAATCACGAGCCACGGTCTATCAACAAAAAAGGAGATTTTGAAATAATTTTAATATTCGAACCGTGCTCTCGTATCTCTAATGAAAAAATAAATAAAAAAGAAACTTTTGTGAAGAAAAAAGGTTGATTCTCCGGTGAAATATTCAGCAGACCTTCTAATTTCAGATCCTACGGATATGTTCCCTCAGAAAGTTCAATCGTTTCGAAACGTTATTTCGATCAATCTATTGGCACTAAAAATAAAAAAAACTGCTTACAGACGAAGAATACAGTCAGATTCTCACCACGCGAAGCAGCGCTCTACAGTCAGAAAAATGATAAACGAACGTCGAAACAAAAACCTAATTCCATGAACTCTTTTAGGAATAATAAATAATAACAACAAAAAATCACTCATTTCGCTCTACCATTATTATCATGATCATCGTCGTTCATATTCGAAACGATCCTATCACTCTTTCGTCTCTTCGTGATTTACCCTTAAATAATCTGCGGCATCAACCTAGTAATGAACTTTCGTCTACACGCATACACATTCTATACTTTGCATGTAAATAATGCCTATTTTCCAAAAGTGTGTATGAAATATGCTCCAACCAGGGAAATATCATGTCTCGAGACGCCATTCGATTGATAAGAAAGATACATCGTGATCGTATCAACCTATTCGCGTTACATTCAATACCAGTATATTAATATTACTGTTATAAATATTAATATTTTCGTTATTAACTGAACGCAACGCGAAGGTGCACACATTCGAAGATTTTTAATTTACAACCACGCTATATCTCTCGAATCCCATTTCTCCTCCTGTACACTCGTGTTTCATCGTTCCACTCATTCGTGTGCGACACTTTACAGAAACATTTTGTACTATCAACATACGGTCGCAGTTTCGTTCAGTATGCATACACTATTTCATTGAAATTTTCACTCTGTATTTGCATTTTACGTTCACTTTCGACTCGCTGTGAAACAAGGCTGAATCCAAAGAAAAATACTGTCAGCGGGAAAATAAAAGTTACTGGACGAAATTGCGTATGCACACTTCTAAGGTTTAGATCGATAATATCCCACAGGATAAATCCACGGTTGAAGTGCTGCGCATCATTCTTCATCTTCCTTCTTCACGTGTTCTACGCGATGTTACTCGTATTCTTCTATATTCAATGTAAGTCTGTTCCGGTGACGTCGACGCACTTAGGCAATTGAAAAATTCAATACACACGAGTATATAGTCATCGTACGAGATGTATCTTAATGAAGAAAATTCTTAACGATTAATCCTTACGCGTATTAATATATGATGCTTATGAGTTTATGAGCTACCATATTAAAGGAAAAAACATACACCACTGAAAGATTATATCGTTAGTAGCGATCGCTTTCATATACATATACTCGGATCGCCGAAAGCTACGTTTGCACTGTGCATACGCTTCGGTGACACGATGTTCAAATTAAGCGAATATCATTTCATTCTACTTTAACTCAGCTATTTTCAAGGATTTTTACTAACAAACATCAGTACTGTTCTAATGAAAAGTTGCAAAATAATTTTAGTATAGATACTAATAAAGCTAAGTCTACCAAGAAAAAATCCCTATAAAACAGCTCGATCGTAGAATGATTTTACACGCGTTGCAATGAACATCGTCACACCATATATAGATAGTGAAGCACATTAAAAACATAGCGTAAGCTAAGTAATATGCAAATATTGGAAAACCTCCACTAATTCTATGCAAAGTATAGCTTGTAGAATACCATTCATTAAAACTAGGACTTATATTATAATCCAGTTGCCTCCGCTTTCTTTTACGTGCATATATGACTGTGGGCTCTGCTCCACCACTACTACAAATTTGCTTTCATTTCGTGGAAAACAAATTCGTACAGAACCGTTTCTCATGACACTATTTATAGAAATGAGACTATTATTAACAGTCATAATTTTATGTACAATTTAACAAACTGGATGCAGTTCTCCTACTCTTCACGATCAGATAAGTTACGTGATAAAATTATAATCGAGCTCACTGTGCCCTGCCATGTCACATAGAATTGAAACAAGTGAAAATGATTTTTCGTCCTCTTCTGAGTAATTACACGTTAGTATAAAACAATTTCAGGCAAAAGTTTTTTGGTTATTCTTGCTATGACCGCGTCACCTGCAACTTTGCCGAGATACCAGTTGTCACTTCAATAGTTACATCGATTTTTGCAGACTGGTTAAAATTTATTTCAAAATGGATCAGAAATTGAAATAACTTTTACCACATCCTCTCCACGTAATTTATCAACAGTGTAATCAAGTAAATTGGCAAATTTGCGTGTGACTACGGTAAGTACAGGCTTTGTTCGTGCCTCTGGCAGCGAACATTTAAGAATATGTACATGTACATATGCTGAAAGGATTTAAAAAATCATTTTTACTTGTTGAATCGTGGTGGCCTCCTCAATCGTGGTATCAACTCTGTCCTAACAGTCCTAGCATAATTCGGAGTAGCATACTGATCAGTCACAGCAATCGGACTCTGCAGACTTTGAATGAACATCGGCGAGTCCTGTAATTGTCCAACGCTCGCTGCCTGATACTGATACTGACTGTTCGCTATGTCCGCTGTCGGGTAATGATTTGGCTGCACGAATTGAGGAGGGTTATCGTACTGCGGATACGGAATCGAACTCTCCGCAGAGAACTGAGGAATTACTGGGTTCACGTTCACCGGTGTAGTCGCGAAACTTCCAGGATCGTAAGTCTGGTACTGATTCAGCTGTCCAATTTGCGTCGTGCTGAACGGGGGAGACTGAGGGAACTGAGACGTGTCTGGGAATAGCACACTCGCAACGGTCGGTTGAGGAAAGCTTTCTGGCCTGGGATAAGGTGACATGTTTGCCGTCACGTTGCTTAAGCTTTGAACGTTTGGAATTCCAGCTATCTGAGACGTGCCGTAACTGTGGAAGGTTTGACGGCTATGGTCTAAATCTTTCACGCCGCTCTGCAACGAATTTGCTACGTTCAGCTTCGATTTGGAGTTTGGACCTCCTATTTCGTTATGCTTGGTCCTTGCTTCCGTCACGAACGGATGGCGAACGTTTACGATACTCTGCGGGGCACGTAACGGTGGGAAATTAATGGGTGCCATTTTCGACGCAGGGTTCTGTTGCTCGAGTGCCTTTCTGGCTACAGCGAAAGCGGTGTTATCGTTGCGTGAAGCTGGTCGAGAATGGTGAGTGCTGGAAGTCCCGTGATTCTCTCTGTGTAATGCTTGAACAGAGGATTGATTTACGAATCTCGACGACAAATTGTTCATGGGTGTGCTATTCCTCGCCTTGTAGTCTTGGCTGTTCACGGATGATTCTTTGTAATCAGGTTGCATCTGATAATTCTTCATTTTGGAATCGATTTCGCTGGAATACTTTTTGGTAGAATAATCTTTGGATTTGGATGCGCTCTCATGAGGGACATTACCACCAACACAGACTGCAGAAACACCTCGTACACTACTGAAGGTAGAACTGGATTGATTTGTGGTTACAATGGATGTACTCTTGGAAAGTTGTTCGTTAGCTTTCAAGTTTTCGTTATTTCCATTGTTTTTCTTTATGGATGAATTTATTCTATTTGTAGAAACTGTAACGTTTGTTGATGTGGTAATTGTGTTTAATGTGGCATCTTTGTTGGGTATTGTAGTATTTACTGCTCTGACTGATGGCTTGGATAATCTACTTTTGTTCCCCACATGATCAAGCTTTTGACTATTTTTACCCTTATCCAATACTTGATTGTTTACTGATAGTATCTTGGGATCTGTGTTGTTGTTCTGATTTTTGGACAGCAAGTTGTTATGGGATTTACAGTTGATAGTGACAGCTGGCAGGAGCGAAGCGCTGGCTCACTTCTTGGTCATGATTTTCAGATATTCCAAAGCGTTCTGAGCAGCACTAGCTTGAGCATCTTTACTAGTAACACCACAACCATAGCAAACTGCTACTGGCAATGTAGACAGTTGCACAAGGCACTGGCATTTACCTGTAACATTAAGAAATAGTCATCTATCTAATCCAGATTTTATTTCTATTAATAACACATAAAATTCTGTTGTAATTTTCTTAAAATTGTATATAAAATGACAAAATGTAAAATAAAAAAAGGTAATTAAAATAACAAAAGCGTAGAAAATTATTACAAGAAATAACATAAAAAATATTTGCCAATTTATATCAAATGTACACTGGTCACTGAAATACGTCATATGTAATGTAGCTTATGATAATTATGTCATAGGTCATATGTCAGACAAAATAAACAAGTTGGTGCCACATAGCTTATATAAACCTGACAGAGAGGGTTTTTTCTTAAGGGGTTGTAAAGACACAGGAGCCATGTGTGGAATTAGATCTGCCAAACTTACTTTACGTAAACAAATGAAATACATAATTGCACAATTAAGTGCTGATGAGAAACAAAGACAATCAAGAAAAGTATTTGAAAAAGTAAGTACTTAAAGGAAACAAGTAGTTTATTCATAGCAAGGATATAAGAGGTTATGTCATACATAGATTATAGATTTTATAAATTTTGATAAGTTTTACTTATTTACAGTTATGCTCTCTAAAACAATTTCAAGAAAGTAAAAGAGTTTCTGTGTATTTGAGCACAGAAGATGAAATTAATACAATACCAATACTAAAACATATGTTTAAACTGAACAAGGAAGTATTTGTTCCTAGATATAAAGGAAAACAAATGGAAATGGTTAAACTATCTTCAATGGAAGATTATGAAAAATTACCATTAACTAAATGGTGTATTAAACAACCAAGCATCAATGAAATCAGAGAAAATGCTTTAGAAACTGGTAAGGTTTCCAACTATTAATTTACATAAGCATGTTTCATTTTATTCCACTGCTATTTTCAAATTATTTATACATAACATAAAAAATAATGCTTGGGAAAATGACTCATGTTACAGGTGGATTGGATTTAATACTTTTACCAGGTGTTGCATTTACTGTTACTGGTAAGACAATTATAATTTAAACAAATTACTTAAAATGGAAAATATTTATGATGATGTAATATTATAGGAAAACGTTTGGGACATGGAATGGGTTATTATGACAGATTTTTGGAAAAGTGTATAAAGAACCAAGAAAAAAGACCACACATGATTGCAGTGGCATTTAATGAGCAGTTACGTGAAGATATTCCCATATCTGAAAGTGATGTACTTTTGGATCTTGTACTTACAGAGAAAAGTGCTTGACAAAATAATGTGTGTCCTTTTTATTTTTGTTTTTAACTCGAATGTACTTTTTTGAAATATAAAAATAATTAACAACTTACCACTTATAGATTTTTCTTCGATATCAACATAAGTTACTTCAAATTGCTGCTCTGAAGCAATTTCTTGCAAAAACTGTACCAAATTTACATCGCCATCGTTCAAACAAGTGTTCTATAACAAAAATGTTTATTAAAGAAATTTTTAAACGTTAATGAATTTAATATGATAATTTTTTCTTTCATTAAAACTTCTTAAAAACAAAGGATATTTTCATAATTAATTAAGCTACAAACCTGTAATTCAAAAAGCTTAACACCAGTTGATGATTTCAGACTTTTATGAAATTGTGAGACTTTAAGGCTATGAATAGTAGTTAAAGTTGAAATTTTGCTACCTTTCAGTTCAGCGTAACGGGCATTCACATTTGCATTTCTTTGTAAAACCTATAACGGACAATTAATAAAAATTTAATTACATGCTCATCATTGGAGATAATTCACCAATGATTGCACTTATATTAAAAGTAATATGAAGTGGAAATGATCCAAGCGTGTTTATCGTTGAAAATATATTGCTGTGTAAATGATTTTTAGTATAAGTACACATACATATTACACACATGTCTTGTTTTAAAAATTATCCGTTATAGATTCAAGGTGATCAGAAAGGTAGCATATATTTCATAATACTGCCTACAGTGCCAAATCACTTCCACTTCACTAAACATACACACACATACACAACAAAAACTATTCACAAACAAAGACACAGTAACAACCTATGTAAAGACATGTTGATATTATCTCAGTACACCTGTCCCATAATTTATGCTCAAAATACATTCCATGTCATATTTTCTTTGTATGATAGGAAATTACAAAAATTAATAATCACAAAAAACATATACAAACAAATACAAATTTAAATTTTACTTGTTATTGTTGCATTTAAAAGAAATCAATCTTTTCTCTATTATTAAAAATATTTTACATTTCCTCCTAAGCTTACTATCATATTCAAAAGTACTATGCAAATTTAGAAGTTAGGGTACAGAATTTAGAAATATATAAACCATCCCATTAAAAATCTTAACATATAATTCATTACCTTTAACAAATTACATACATATAACAATAAGAAATATTCTTACCTCATCTTCATCCACGTTGGAACTCTCTGTATTCATATCGTGTAAAGCTTGCCACATTTTATGAGCTGCATGCCTCTTTGCTACTTTTTTACTTTTTCCCTGGCCAACCTCTCGATATTTTAAAATAGAACAAACAATGGTAAACTGTCTCTCATGTGGAAGACCTTCCTCGTTTTCCATTGTATATTTTGGTGGGGGCCAATGACGTGACATACACATTTCTTGTAATGCTCCAATTGGGTTTGTGATTAATGTTTCTTCTCCATATCCTGATAATTCTTGCAGATTCTCAGAACTGTATAAAATTAAAAATTATACTAATTTTTTCAAACAAATAAATAATACAATATAACAAGAATATATGTTGTTATCAATTATTACTCTGGTATATTATTTTGAAGTGGAGAATCTGGAGTATCGCTATTTAATCTACACAATTTATCCAGTACAGCTCTTGCAGCAGCATGTTTTGCTTCCTTTTTTGACTTTCCAGTCCCCATTGCTGAAACAATTGGATCTGCTTCAATTGTCAAATACTTATCACTTACTGCTTGCATTATATGGTCAAATATATATAAACATGATGAATAATTCCTATTAAAAATATATATTTAACTCTTTGACTGTGAAAGATGCATATACATCCTCACATCCATTAATACATACAAAAGGTATACATGTACACCAAGTCTAGTTTTTTTAAACACATTTATTACCTTACTTGTTGCCCTCCTGTCATGGAAAACCAATTGAACAAATATCAAGAACTGTCTCAATGTCTTGCCACCTTTCACAATAGAAACTTCTAATTTGAGAATGGTTCCTTCATAAAGCATACCACAGTCAAAGGGTTAAATTTTAACTTTAAATAATTGTAGATCTTAATAATAATTATCATCAAAATTAGATACAAACCAACAATATCAGCAACAGTGACACGATAACGAAAAATAGGCTCATGGATAGCACCTTCTACTTGTATTAGTTCATACTTTGGTGTTGTACCCCTACGAGAAAGCAATTCCTGAAGAATAGAAACTGGTGTTTTGTTGGTCAGTGACTTCATCTCCAATTGAGCAGCCTCACTTATTGGAAGTTTTTCCACCATTAAACTGTGTAACGATAATCGAAGTCTGCTACGCCGGTTAACATTATTCGAATGATTAGGAACCCCACCACCTACATTGGCCATCATATTAGGCCCAACCTGTTGTGGCTGATGCATTTCTTCCATTTTTGCGATCTAAAAACGAACAAAAAATTACATATATTTAATTTATATGTTCTTTTATAAATATTTCATTAATTACATTTTAAGATATTAAGCCCACTACTAAGTAAATATTTAATTTTATTTAAATAAATGGAAATAAAGATGGTAAAACCACTAAAAAGCAGTTATGTAAATAAAACTTACAGATGTTGATATATTGTAAACATTAAAATCTAATCATTTAGCTGATTGAAACAAATCAGTTGCAAACAAGTTTATTTAATACTAAAACCAATCATTTCTGTTAGAACAGCTATAATTTACAAACATGTTGTTGATAAATAAGTAAGATTTTTAATGATCTGTCAAATGTTATCTTTAATTCCACCAATTAATCATTTACAAAAATCTTGTGATTGAAAAAACACAAAATGATACAAAATTAAGATTACATATAAAACCACGATGAGTTTTTAATAACAATGAAGTTTCAACAACATCTAGACAATTCTAATTGTTGATTAATCCGAGTTCTATGCAGTATAAAACGGTAGGAAAACCGGCTGGCGGCCATGATTGTAATAAAATTCATTGATTAATTCTAGTACGTGAAGCACAGAAAATACAACAATAAAATATAAAGGTTAAGTCTGATGGTGATTCCAATGAAAATAAAGTCGATCACGATTTTTATCGCTGTCAGTGTTCTATTTAAAACGACGATACCTAAAGGGTACATAAACCAACCGGTTACACTATCGTCCGCTACAAGATATCAAAAAATCTTACTACCTTTACTCACAATTTTCAAACGTTTTATATAAATAAACTGGCTCCTGAACAGGCCAATTCCTATGCGAAAAGCGAATCCCGCTTTTTGTGACCGATCCAAGTCTCACAAAAAGCTTGATCCGTTTGACGACAGAAAAATGGTTTGCTGACTACCGGAGAATCTTCCTCGTTTCTGGTTCTGCCGCAGTATGCGATGTGAAGTTTTTCTAGACACGAAAGCACGCGCACCTTTCTGCGCAGGTGCATTACTGGCGGTTTTATGGAAACGAGTTTTCTTCATTATAATTCAAATCAAATATAAATTGTTTATTGAAGCCTGAATCACAAATAACATCTGTTCATTGATTTCAGTAACATGTCTCATATTGGATACTTAAAACATGCAATGATGAGCGTGGTAAACTTCCTTTAAAAAAAATAGCAGCGTAATAGAAAGAAGTACCACTGTTCAATAATTTTCAGTGGTGAATTTTTAAATTTAGACCCTTAGAAATTTGAAAATTTAAAAATTTAAGCGTTCAGAATTTTTGGAAATCTTTTTCAAAACAAAGTAGACTACATTATTCAGTTGTTTAACGCATTTCATTGAAACTGTTAGTTTGAGCAAAATGATTCTAAATAAAAATAGAATATATATGTAAAATTAATAAGTTAAATTGCAATATATTTTGCTTGCTTAGTTATATAAAATTTTTAAAGTGTTAAAAACATTCTTTTGTGTTTAAACTGGCGCCATTTCATTAAATGAATCGCCATTTTCAATAGAAACCACCGTGTCTTGGCAACACCGGATGTTGGCGCATTTCGCATTTGTATATCTAGAATCATCATTTCCGGTTGTTACCCGCTGAAACGGTCGAAGGATTGTACGCCATTACTACACACTGACGCTGCATCGTATTATTTGAAACATTTCATTGATTTTTAAAGCATTTCGTTAAATTTGTTTATATTAGAACTTTCGTAATGAGTGACATCGAGGTAATTTCCATATTCTACTTATTGAAATAAGAATTTTATGTATAATTTTAGATAGTTTGCAACCGTAAGGATATGCGGCGAACTACAGCCATTATCGATCCATAAACGTTCATCTGTATTTTACATTTATATCATAATTTTAATAACAGATATTTTACATTTTGACATTGGATAATTCATATAATCAATTTGAAATGTATTATTACATTTTTAACTTTTCAAGATATATTTGTTAATGTAAATACAATGTCTTGACTGCAGACTAGAAGGTTAAGCATTTTAGGCTTAACTACAGTGTATTTGAAAACAATTTATTGTATTTCATACATATTAATCCTTTCACATAGAATTTTATACATTTCATTATAAATAGTTCGAATTGAATAAAGGTTCTCAACAATTTTTAACACCAGAATTTTTTTAAGCATTTCTTGGAACACAAAATCCGTTTAGTGTGAAAGGATTAATCAGTTTTGCATGTAGTCAACTTGTAAATGTTTAATATATGTTCACTGCCCATTCAGCATTGTATTACACCATAAATTATGTATATTTTAATATATTTTGTTTTTCCAGAGAAGCGGTAGTCGCAGTGCAAGTCCTCGGAGACCACGAACAGCAGATGGAGGATTAAGAGATTCACGTTCACATTCAAGATCACGCAAATCGCGTGAACGCAAAGAATCTCATCGACCAGTGAAAGAATATTCCAGATCAAGAAGTCGTTCTGTATCCAGAGGAAGGAAGTCATATCGCAGTAGCAAGTACGCTAGTGCAGGTCATCGTGGTAGTAGTCGCAGTCGTAGTCGTACTCCTTACAGGGGTGGACGATACTCTCGAAGCAGATCTCGTTCATACTCTCGCTCACGTTATTCCCGCGAACGTGATAGGAATATTTATCGTTCACACTCTCGCAGTCCAATGTCTTCTAGACGACGCCATGTTGGTAACAGGGACAATCCTAATCCCTCTCGATGCTTAGGTGTATTTGGACTTTCTATTTTCACTACTGAACAGCAAATATATCACATCTTTTCCAAACACGGACCCGTTGAACGAGTGCAAGTTGTATTTGATGCAAAGGTAATTAAACATTTACCCAATATAAACTTAAATATTTGTCATATTATTTGGATGATGTTAATGAAATCATAATGTAACCCTTTAAGTATTATTTTAAAAGGGGTAGAATAAGGTGCCAGAGATTTAGAACATTCATGCATCAAGGTTACGTGAAAAGTTAAAGGCCTCTGGTTACATATATGAAGACAGATGATAGTATAATAAAGTAATATTTATCTTGTTCATTTTGTGAGAGGTAATGTAAACTTTTGTGTTCCAGACTGGACGTTCCAGAGGATTCTGCTTTGTATATTTTGAATCAGCTGAAGATGCTAAAGTTGCAAGGGAACAATGTACAGGAATGGAAATAGACGGCCGAAGAATAAGGGTGGCCTTCTCAATCACACAGCGAGCTCATACGCCTACGCCCGGAATTTACATGGGAAAACCTACACATTTGCACGACAGAGGCTGGGATGGTCCTAGACGTAGAGAGTAAGTTAATCAGCCTCAATATCTTGTACATATCAGCCATGACTAGGAATACTTGGTCATGCATGTTTTTACAATACAATCATTTAGTCTTAGAAAGTAGTAGAATTGTAATTATTTTATTTTTAAAAAGAAGTAGTTACAGAGGAAGTTACCGACGTTCGCCCAGTCCATACTACAGTCGTCGACGTTCGCGCTATGACAGATCCAGATCGCGTTCCTATTCTCCGCGTAAGTTTGCTTTTAGTTCTTTTACAAAACCTAATATAAGCAGTCTACATGGATATGTGTCTCCTTTGAAATAATACTTCTGTCACATAACATACGATCAACCTAAATGCATACACGCAGAATGTAGAAATAAAAGCTCATTGATTTGATATTGTATAATTCGCTAAAACCTTTTCTTTTAGTTTTCCTGTTTATTTTTTGTCTTTGCAAAGCACATAATATTACGACACAATGTATAAATATGTATCATGTAACATGTATTAAACTTATTTTCATTCTATCTACAATTTAAAAAATACAGGAACATTAAAATAACTTTATATATAAAAATATACTAATACATTGTTATGATTCACAAGGTCATCAACAGTAAATATATATAGATTAAATTCACGTAAAAGAATTAAATGGGAAGTCATTAAGTATCACTTGTATACAATGTACAGATGATATACAAGTTAGTAGCTTTTGTAATTGAAGCTGTAAGTGGTTCTAAAATTTATGGGTATAATCATTTATACCAAAAGTTAATTTGGATTCATATTTTCGTAGACCGCTTATATTTAGTTGAAGCAAAATGTTTAAGTACAAATAAGTAGTTAAATTAGCAAGAATGGAAGGCAGGAGCATCAAGGAATGCATCCAATAAATCGTACGGTAGTAACTAAGTGTAACCCGTAACATGGGTCAAACAATCATAGTTTTTGTTGCTTAATGAATTTCAGGTCGATATTAAGTGACACGAGTGTGATGCGAGAGGCCAGGTGTTTGGGAGACCATTTGTGTGACTTGACCCTTTGACCTCAAATTTCTTCTAACAATATTGTACCGGGTCAAAAAATGCAAACGCTACATTCTTACTACTATTCTTACCTTACCTAATTCTGCATCATATGCAATTAATATATGGCATTTAAATTACGATATTGTACAATATCAATTAATGAGATCATTTAATATGCGAAGGGTGTAGCATATTCTTTGCATGAAACAGTAAGGTTAGAATGGACATAAGAAACCTTATTTTCATAATGTTTTTATTGCTTCCTAACAAATTTTTATGAAGATAAGGTTTATTGTATTGTAACAGTATGACGTTGATATGTGAAGGTTGGAATATAATTTAATTTGCATCTTTCTTTGACAATTTGATTATTTGCTGAAAAGAAGTTGTATTCCAGCCGTTTGGACAGTAAATATCACTGGAAAAACGTGATATGAATCTGGAGACTATGGTATTTCTAAATGTTTATATGAAAAAAAAGAAACACATTACACACAGAAAGAACGAAACAAAACAAAAATAAAATTAAAAATAGAAGTAAGTTCTCTAACCTGTTTGTTTGTTTATAAGGTTTTGAATCAAGAGGTATTGGATGATAGAGGGAAGTTTGAAGTTTCACTCTGAAAAAATGAAAGTTTTGAAAAGTTGAAGACAAGATATCTGAAGATGTTTGTCTTGCTCGAATTTCGAAGATCCAAAGGTTTTTCGCGCTTGTGACAAAGAATATGATCCGAATCACATTCATTACCGGCTGAGAAGTCTCAAGCCTAGAAGAACTGCAAGCACTCTGTAAAAAGCAAGCCTCAAGACAGTACGAAATCGTTGATCGTCAGGCCCCCGACCTGGACAAGCCAGTGGTTGGGGGTGAAACTGGTCGAACGTTTCCGAAAATGTTCAAGAAGCATCGAAATCTTTTATGAGTAGGGAAGAGCGTAAGGTGCTCCAAGGTTTATACCGATCATATTCTTTATCAGTTGATTTGGTTAAATGGCATATCCGTAATTAGGTGTTTATAAAATAAAATAAACATATATACCTTTATCCCTATTCCCTCCACCATCCCATAACCTCCTTATATATCCTTAAGGGTGTCATCCTATTGTTTTCATTTTGTATAGGTATAAGCAGCGGTCATTCATATTGAAACTACTAATAAACAGTGTTTTTGATATAAATGACTATATATTTGAAATTTATCATTAAAAAACCTTTTTCATTATTAATAAATTTTTAAGAACTATCATAATCTGTTTAATTTTATGTAAATACTTGAACTTTGTTATAATTTTAATTACTTGAAAATTCTCTTGGTAATAAAACTGATTTTGATTAACGTTATACATGTCATATAAAATTTTTAACTTGTGTCAGTTTTTGAAGTATATTAACATTATACGTTACAGTAAGAGATTCTAAAATTTAGAGTACATTTCATTTAATTTTTGAAGTATGTTAATAAATTAGAAAGAGTACCTTTTTCAAATTGTTCATGGAAACCGACCTTATGAACAGATGTCGTGTTGAAAGCGCCTTCATAAAAATGTGAAGTTTTGTATCTACTCGAGCAGAGATGCGTTCGAGAGAAGGAAATATGGAACGTTTTGGTGTTGATTTGTTATTGAGATTATGGTTAATTGGTACAATAATTGTGAGTTGCAATGCAGCAGTATCAAAAAGATCCTATGAAAGTCAAATTCCGACCCAAGGATTGTACAATGCCAGTGATAATGTAGTTATTTTAAACGTTACTAATCTTAAATCCTCTATCTATGGTGACACAAAAGGTTGGTTAGTTGAATTTTATAATAGTTGGTGCGGTTATTGTGTCCGATTTGCACCTTTATGGAAAGATATTGCTAATGATATTTACGGTAAGTAAAACTTTTTTATTATTAGAAAATGTAATAAGTACATAAAGAAAGCTACTATTATCACATATTTGCATTTTTATATATATACTTATCTTCAATGAATGGTGTTATCACTTGCATATTTACATTTATCTTTGATAGGTTATTGGTTTTGTCTATATTTGTATACTTATCAGAAGTATTTACTTACTAATGTACTTATCTTAATGTAAGCAAATTATAAGTGTGTCATAAATAATAAGTTTGTATATCTGTCATAATGTTTGATAATTAATATACTTTATATGTTCAATTTGAAACTTAAAACTTGTTGATCATGCAAAAACTTTAATCATTTTTTTTTAAGGATGGAGAGATATTGTAGTAATCGCTGCAATAGATTGTGCAGCAGATGAGAATAATCAAATTTGTCGTGAATATGAAGTTATGTATTATCCACTGATTAAATACTTCTCTGTAAATGCAAATCCATCGTCATTAGGTTTGACAATGGCAAAATTTGATAGTGTTGAAGAGTTTAGACATAATTTAACTGATTTGTTGGTAAAAGAACAACAAGAAGGACGGGGAACTTCATGGCCTAACATTACACCATATAGGTATATGAACTTACATATTGTATCTATTTTGTTTCTTACAAATGGGATTAATTATTTATATTATATTATAGAAATTATGAAATAACAAATATTTGGAAATGGGTGCCAAATACTGTGAAATATTACTTTCTGTTGTTTGAAAAGACAGATTCACATTTGGGTGCAGAAGTAATATTAGATATGCATAAAATTACAACAATACAAATAAGAAGGGTATTGTCTGATAATGAATTACTCTGTGAAACAAATAAGATTACCAATTTTCCAAGTTTGATAGTTTTCAGTCGTAATGAGACACAGAAGTTTCTCAAAATTAAAGTAGCCACAAGAGATGGTATATATAATACTATCAAAGAATTCGTGGCTTCTAAAGGTGAAAATATAGATGAAATAAGCTCTACAAAGAGTCATTCAATGGAATTTGAAAATCGTAATCCACAAACCAATAATTCAAAACACTTACAAGTAACAACAAAACCGCAGATCACAGAGATTACTAATGACTATCTGTATCAACTAGATTTAGAAAATACTATAAGATATTCCATTAGTCATGAAATTCCATTACATAAAACAATAAAGGGCGAAAAAATGGATGCATTAAAAAAGTATTTAAATGTATTAGCTGAATATTTTCCTCTAAGACATGGCAACATCTTTCTGGAAACAATTTATGATGTTGTTAAAAAAAGAGACAATATATCAGGAGAAGAATTTAGCCAGATAATAAAATCTATAGAAGAAGAAATGTCTCCAATATATTCTGGTCCTTCACAATGGGTTGGATGCAAAGGGAGTAAAGAAGGATATCGTGGATATCCATGTGGTCTTTGGACAATGTTCCATATGTTAACAGTTAATTATGCTATTATAAGAAAGAGCACTGAACATGAACCAAGAAAGATATTAGAAGCAATGTATGGTTATATAAAATACTTCTTTGGATGTGCTGATTGCTCACAACATTTTGTACAGATGGCTACCAAAAATAAAATATTTGATGTTTCTAATGACAATGAGAGTATTTTATGGCTATGGTCAGCACATAATGAAGTAAATGCAAGATTAGCAGGCGATGCTACGGAAGATCCGAAACATAAAAAAGTTCAGTACCCCATAATTGAACATTGCCCAAATTGCAGATTTGATAATGGTACTTCTTGGAATGAAGAAAATGTTTTGAAATATCTCACGGCAAAATATAGTTACAAAGGAATAAATTATTATGGTTCAGTTGAACAGAATAAAAATACTGGTAGTAAAATGAAGATAAGACAAGAAAGACTGGTGCTTAGTAAATATACGAGCAACAAGAAGATTGGATGGGATTTCACAATTTTTGATATAAGTATTTGTGTTGTTTTATATATTGCATCTGCTGTTATACTTATATTAGTTTGCATAAAATTTGCGGTAAAAAGAACATACAGAAAAAGAGCTTACATCAGTCTACTTGGCAAAGTATAAATTTTATTTTTCTTGATTGGAACTCGTAAAAAATTTATAAGACAACAAACAAGAAATTGATGAAGACATAACTGTGCTCGTTAATGTATTGTACATATTTTATGTCTCTTTTTTTAATATATCTCATTTTTTTTTATACACAAACATAGCATTGATACATAGTTTTATCTGTTTTTTTTTTTTTAAACCATGTTGACTGTAGTTGTTTCATGTAGAATATAGTGGCACATATTTATTTTGCTTTGATATAAACATTGTATACTTTAACTATTAGAGTAAAGAATACATGGTGACAATTATTTAAGTTTAGTATGTAAAATTTATTCATTCTTTTGCTGTAATCTTTCCATAATTTAATATTTGCTTATAGACAGAAAGTTTTAAAGCTCAATATAAATATTGTAATTTAAGACTATTGCAAAATAGAAAATATACATTACAGATATTTAAGGCTATTGTAAAATATCCTGTGTTAATAATGATTTTAAACTAGTCTTATCAATGTACAATGCATTATGTATAATATTTATTGAAACTAAATATTGACAGTGATGAAGTCTCTTGTATGTGAAAATTTCACACTTGTTTTTAATTAAATTAAGCTTTCTTTGTACATATTAAGATTTAATCCTTTCAGTGACATGCTAAAACATATCTTTTGTAATAATTCTTCATGTTTATATATCTTGTTTAATGATGAATAATAAATATGACCTGATTAATATGTATGTATTTAAATTTGTATCTTTGTAAATAATAAGGGACAGTGAAAGACAAAAATTAATGAAATTCGTACAACAGATGATAATAAGTTTAATAAACAATATATATATTTCAATGAACTTTAATAAAATTTTGTTTTATTTCTGTAATGCATTTGTGTATATTGTATGTATATATTTATTTTATAGAGAAATATACAATTGGTAATTATTTAGTTTTAGAATTGGTATATTGCCATGAACTTAACGTATCCCACACTACACCATTATGTGGTAACTGAGATTTCACATAAGGAAGTAGCAAAGCTAGATACCATCGTTCACCTAATACTTCTTTTATGTTTTGTTTCCAACCTAAATCATACATATGTATCTTTTTATTACTTTCATTAGCTACATTCCCGTTCAATATTAAACAAATATGATAAGTGCATAAAACTCCTGTGAACAACATTCCTACTGTAGATACAATGTACAAAAGTAAGTAAAATTGATCGATAGAGCCATCAAATCCAAAAACAAATATTGCTAAAGGAAAAACAATTTTTATAATTGACATTGGAAATTCAAAATGTATCCTATTCCAAATAAAGAAGTTATTGTAATAAAAACTATACATTGTTGCTATAAATAAATACAAAAGAAACATTATAAAGTATCGGTGATTATAATGACCAACACAACACCCGGTAAAAATACAATGGTGGTCCCTCTTTAAAATGCAAACATCACAAATTGAGCAATGCCAAGAACGTGGAGGTGCAAGTGTTTCACACGAGGCGCATAATCTCCAACCATCTTTAGTATTTGCAGCACTTATTGGCATAATATCTCTCCTAGTGCTGGTATCACAGAAAACTGTATATGTGAAATTTCCAACTATATTTAACATGATAAAATTCCCAAAAGAGAAATGTAAAATGTATAAAAGTGTGGGGTATTCATATATTGCTGGTAATACTACCCATAATTCGAACCAATATAACAGAGGCACGATTGTCAGTATAAAAACCATAGAAAAGAAATCACTTAGAGTACGAGGCCAAATTCTTTTCCGGATAATCATGTTTAATAATTTTCCTTTCACGAAGCACGTGATTCTTTTCGGTATACTTGTTATCGGTGTATGTTCATTTCACGTTATATCATAACCTACAATTTAATATTATACATTATTCTTTTTATCGAATTACCTATTTTTTGTTGTATTTAATACTTTTACGTGTTACATACCTTTAGTTGTTTTATCAAGTCCATTCTTTTGAGCATGTATCAATATTCATTCAACAAGAGAACATAAATAGTTCACGCACCGCGGCTAACTTCAATATGTTCCCCACTATCAAACAGTTCCCCTCTACTCTACTCTCTTTTGGCTTCATATATGGTGAACAAATATATATGAATAAAAAGAAGTGATGTATAGTAACCTTGACAGTAGCAATATTCGACCAACAAGAAATTTCCAAACTTAAAAAATTCTTAAATTTTCAAGTCTCTATACTCCTCACCTCTTTATGACTATGATCATACTTTGTAAAAAATGAATTAAAAAATAAAGGATCCCTGGGTATATACAGATGCCATAAAAGCTACAACACGCATGTCAGTTGCTGTTGGATACGAACTCCACTAAAACCAATCGTAACTCATATGCGCAGAATGAACCTATTTCATTGAATGGTGAGGATAACCTCTCATTGAATGAAATTTTGTATACACGAGAAGTTGGACACATTCCTGAACTAATTCAGCATTTACTAACTTCACATGCCTTGTTCGATTGTGTTCGTTTGAATTTAAAAGACAATGACATTTAAGTAATCCAAACACAACAATTGTGATATGTCTGATATTGTCAAACAAGTAGTTAATATAATTTTAAATAATTAATACTCAGTATGCAAACTACTGAAGAATTCCCTTTTCCTTTTCCTCCCTATTCTATACAAGTTCAATTTATGAAAGAATTGTATAATTGTTTGGAAAATGCTAAGTTGGGAATCTTTGAGAGTCCAACAGGTACCGGTAAATCTATGTCAATCATTTGTGGTGCTCTAAAATGGCTTTTAGATCATGAAGAGTTTCAAAAGAACCAGTTGACAAAAGCGATTTCTGATTTTGAAGAAAAAATAAAAAAGTGTACTAACTCATCCACCAATTGGTTTTCTGTGCAAACTGAACAAATACAGTTAAATAGCGAGAAACAAATTCTTCAGACAAAGTTAAATAGTATTCTACAATATGAACGTAAAAAGAATGGTCTAAAAGAAGCAGTTAAAAATGTGGATAAGAAAAAGAAAAGATTTGGTCCTAGTAAACCAAATCAAGGAAAAACTCAAACAGAAACTCAAACAGAAAAGAATGCACCAGTTGATGAAGATAATAAAGACACCATTATAGAAGAAGAATTATTGTTAGAAGATATAATGCAGCATTCAGAAAATTCAGAAGATGAAGACAGTGAAGAAGAAACCTTTGCAAACACTAAAATTTTTTTCTGTTCTAGAACCCATTCACAATTATCACAATTCATAAGAGAACTTAAAAAAAGTCCTTATTCAAAAAATGTATCTGTTGTTCCATTGGCATCTAGGTAGTTCATGATTTATTCCTTTAAATAAAATTTATATATTCTGTAAACTAATTCATGTACAAAATTTCAGGCAAAATTATTGTATCAATAAAAATGTAAGGAAACTAAAACATCAAAATTTGATTAATGAACAGTGTTTACAATTACAAAAAAAGAAAGCAACTGTAAAAGATGAAAAAGATGTTAAAAGAAAGAAGGTAGCAACTAGTTGCCCTTTTATGCCAGGAAATCAAGACTTACTGATAGGAGAAACATTAATAGAGATTCAAGATATTGAAGAGATTGTACAAAAAGGGGAGGACTATAAGACTTGTGCTTATTATGCAGCAAGAAAAGCTGTACCAACTGGTCAATTAATATTAGTACCATATAATTCTGTACTTCATAAAAATACTAGAATTAGTTCAGGAATTAATTTAAAAGGAAATATACTAATAATTGATGAAGCACATAATTTGCTTGAAGCTATTGAAAGAATGCACAGTGTTATGATTACAGGCAGAAATTTATTGCATTGTCATAGTCAACTTTCGCAATATCTGAAAAGGTAATGAATATTCAAATAACTTGACGATATACTATTCTAAAAGTAACGAAGATATGAATTTTAGGTTCCAAACTTTATTTTCTGCAAAAAATCTTTTATACTTAAATCAATTAAGTTTTTGTTTGAAAAAACTTTTAACTATTTTTGGTGCTACTACAAAATCAACTCCTGATGATAGTATAAGTGCAGAAACAATTTCAAAGTCCTATAAAATCGAAGAATTTGAAATAAAAACAGAAATTGATACAATAAATATATTTGAGTTGTTAAAATTTATTAAACATTCTCGATTGAGTCATAAATTGCAGAGCTTTGTAGAACAGTATGATACTAAAATAAAAGTTTGTAAACCTGATGAAAAAACATCTGGTATTAAGCATTTCTTACATTCAATTAAAACCAAAAGTTCAGAATGTACCACAGATACAGTTGCAGCTGTAGTGGAGGAAGAACAATCAAATAATCCTCTGTTATTAATAATAAGCTTCTTAGAATCTTTACAAAATAGATGTACTGACGGACGCATATTTGTTATCCCTGGTGCAACTCTTGGACAAAGTATTATAAAATTTTTTTTATTGAATCCAGCAGCACACTTTCATGATATTGGTAAACTCATAAATTTAAATATACAGGTACCACCTTTAATGATTTAGTTATTCAGTAATTAACTTATAATTATCAATAGTTCAAGACTCTAGAGCTGTAATATTAGCTGGTGGAACAATGGCACCAATGAATGAATTTACAGAACAATTATTTATAGCAGCAGGTGCTGCACCTGAAAGAATTGTTACATTTTCATGCGATCATGTAGTACCTAAAGAAAATATAATATGCTCAATTGCAACTCATGGTCCAACTGGTGTTGAATTTGAATTTAATTATCAAAATCGACAAAATATAAAATTGGTATATATTACAATATGAACAATTTTAAAATAATTAGAAGAATAGAATAAAACATCAATGATATATTTCAGATGGATGAATTAGGAAGAGCATTATTAAATGTATGTAATATTGTACCTGCTGGTATTGTAGTATTTTTACCCTCTTATAATTTTGAGGAACTGGTATATAAACACTTAGAAAAATCTGGTATCATAACAAAAATTTCTGCAAAGAAACATGTTTTTCGGGAACCCAAATCAACTTCTCAGGTATTCTATTTATTTACTCATAAGTTCAACATAAAAGTTTTTAATAAATTACAAATTCCAGGTAAATGAAATTTTGGAACAATATGCAGCTCATATAGAAAAACCACGAAGTCCACAAAATGGTTCATTGTTGTTTAGTGTAGTAGGTGGAAAATTAAGCGAAGGATTAAATTTTTCTGATAATTTAGGAAGGTGTATCATTGTGGTAGGAATGCCTTACCCAAATATTAAATCACCAGAACTCCAAGAAAAAATGAAATACTTAAATGAAAATGTTGTACGTATATATTTTGTTTATTATTATAATAAATTGAGCTGCTTGATACAATACAAATTGAATTTCATATTTTTTGTTCAATAGAAGGCAGATGCTGGTCAAAATTTATATGAAAATTCATGTATGAAGGCAGTCAATCAGTGCATTGGACGAGCAATTCGACATATTAATGATTATTCAACAGTAATATTATTAGATAAACGTTATTCTAATAAAACGAAAGCGTTACCTCAATGGATTCAACGTGCATTAATAATTCATAATAATTTTGGTAGTATGATTGGAGCTATGGCTAAATTTTTTAGTAAAAAAAAGAAAGAAGTACAAAAATAGCAAATAGTTACTACTGTATTAATTGTATGAAGACACTTTTTTATTAAAAATATTTTTACACATTACATAACAATAGATAACATTATAGTTTTTTAGAATTTAACAAGTAATTACAAATATAAAGTTGTGAACATATTACATATAATTTGCAAGACATACTTCAAATTTATATGTTAAGTCATGGCAGTAAATTTGACCAGGGTATAATATAGAACATGGGAAATGTGACTAGAAAGAATGAAGTTTATACGTTAATTGAATAAAACATTTTAATTATGTATCTAATATTTATACCTACATAATGAGTTGCATTGGGGTAGTTTTGCGGTTGTATGCTAAAAGCACAAAATTTTTTATAACGACTTCCGTGTTTTCCCAAAAGAAATTCCAATTTTTTAGGTACAGCTATTATTTTTTTATATTGTCTTTCAACTTTTGTTTCTTCCTCATCATTTTCATCACTTTGATAACTTTCATTATATTCTTCAACATCTTCACTACTCTATAATAAAATGGATATATTCATAAATTTAGATATAACTTATCTAAATGACAGAAAAACATTTAGTATATATTTACATCTTTTAATAAATCATAAGTCTCTGTAAATTCTGTAATAATGCGAGGTGGTAGATGTCCTCCGGTATAAAACTGTACTCCACGTTGATCCGAATAAATTTCTAAAACGCTATAAGTGATACATTTAAGAAATTGTATTAAATATAACGTGTACAATGTAATTTATATATATACCGTCCAGTTTTTACATGCCAAACTTTAGCAACAAATAAACTACCAGATTGTTCATTTCTTGTAACACATAAATTGTGATCATAGCCTTCTCCAGGTGGTACCTATTAATTATTTATGTGTTAAATATTATTAAGAACATGGTAATATATAATGGTTCAATACCTTTTCCATATAATCTTTTAAAACTCTTGGTATTCGGAAATCCATAACAGTACCAGCTACACCACGTATAGCACCTGTAGGAACTGGATCTGTATAATCCGCAAATGTCCAACGATCACAGTTCAATAATACTTTATGTTTTTTTAGTTCGTTTTCTCCAGCATTCTGATAAATTTTGTATACTTATTTAAGTACATACTTTTAAGCATATCATTACTTACATGTCCAGCTAAATTAAACATGGAACCATGTGATAAGTTTACTATTGTTGGTTTGGAAGTTGTTGCTCTCATACTTATACTCAATTTATTATCTGATGTTAATTTAAATCTTAGTGTAGTTAACACTGCACCTGGATAGCCTTCTTCTCCATCTTCACTTAAATAACTCATAACAACTGAGCATCCAGCAATGTATGAATCCCATACTTTACGACCAAATCCATTTGTCTAACAATAACATGGAAATGGTTTATTATTTACATATGTGTGGATAATGCTACTAATGAATTTACTCCTCCATGCAAATGGTGTCTTCCATTATAATCGTTTTTTGTTAATTCATAATCTTTGCCTCTGATAGTAATATGTCCATCTTTGATACGATTTGCACATCTTCCTAATATACATCCAATAAAGGGATTTGTTATCGGGTTCATGTATCCTATAAGATTTAAGTATACTTCAACAAAAATTGACTTAATTTATAAATGATATATGCATGAAGTTATACCATACCCTTCAGGTCATCAAAACCAAGAACAACATCAGCAGAATGGCCATATTTATCTGGACATTTTAAAGATACAATTGTAGCACCCCAAGTAATAAGAATAACTTCCATACGATTAGCATTTAGCATAGTATATGACTTTACTATTTTTGGTATAGAATCCATGAACATCGGTTCTTCTTTATTTTCTAATTATTGTAATTTATCATTAATTATTATTATGAAATGAACAAAATGACTGAGTAGTTTACCATCCCATATTTCTCCAAATATTCCTTCTGTAATAGTTACATTTTTACAATTACAGCTATGAAAATCCATACTTATTAATACAATAAAATTTAGGTACTTTTTATTGACACAATAATTTTTACTGTTTGAAAATGAAGAAGTGTAAAATATATAATTTTTTCATGTAAACAATAGAAAATCATTCTATTTTGTAATATACAATGGCAATAAATTAAAAAACGTGAGATATTTTTATTGTGTTAAGTAATAAAAGAAATTAATTTTATTTTTTGATGTTATTTGAAATGATTTATTAATAATAATAAGGCATCACCTACAATTTGTGATGCTTCAATGTTACAGTAATTGTAGTAATTAATATAATATATACTCCGGTTACTATTTATAATTTATATAATTAATATTTATAGAGTAATGTACAATGCTTGGAAAAATACATGAACTTTTCGTGTAAATCAGACACCACATTGATACAGTTTCCATTCAATTTTTGGGTTTTCACTGTTATATTTAAATCTGTTAAGTAAAAAATTGAAGACATTTGTTATTGCATTTTTTTTCAATGAAATAACGTTTTACAATTTTGTATAACAAAATGAATAATTGTTATTCTTCTTCTCATTTTATACCATCCTGTCTCTTGTTTATACATGTTAATGGTCATGCAGTACCTAATATCTTCATTTGGCAAACTATATTTACCACAGAAAACTTTGAAGTTTCTATAACTTCATATAATTGTTGTTAGAATTATATTACATAAAAGATTCCTTTTTTCAAGCTTTGGGTCTTGCATTTCATTATTTTCAAGGCGCACACCAAAGCAGTCACTTTTTACTTAAATACATGTGGAACACATTGCACTTAGCTTATTAGTAGTATTCTTATCACTATGGAGTAATTTAAAATTTAAATAAATTGCCAGTAATTATGGATTTACGGGTTGCAGTACATTCTACATCCTCTAACTTCATATATTACAAAGAAATACTGACAAAGAATTAATTCCACGAATCAAAAGAACTGTGATAACTCCTCAATATCGATTGTGTTTAAATGTGATTAGAAATAATAAAATTGTTTAGTATATTTTACAACAAATAAACATATAAAGAATAGAGGAGATAACACAGTGAATACTTTGTGTACAATAAAAGTACACTTAATAATTATCATCTTGGTCATAAGTGTCATTGTACAAATTACTAATTTATAAGCTGCATGCAATTTTAATATAATCTGAATAAGAAGATATTTACAATTTAAATTTATATTGAAAGAAACACATTCAGAACAACGATATTTGGTCACATTAACTTGCTTAACAGAAAGATAATCTAAATTTGTTAAAGGATAATTAATTTAAGTCTTGTTACATATGAATTAGAGAGAGGATTTAATGTTATTAGTATATGTGCAAAATTACTTTTTACATAGTTGTTCTGAACACTGTTTCCTCGAACATTTTTTCTAGTAGATAAACATATAGTCTATAAATGGTCTTTAATGAAATACAAAACTGAGTTTTATCTTCTTACTTTTAGCTAAAGAAGTTATAATATATAAAAAATAAATATAGCTTAGACTAGCACTGTTGGCGATCATACGCCATTACATAATTAATAGTTGATAGCTGCCTAATATTATGTTTTGTATAAGTTATTGTTACTATCAACAATTATTGATATTAATTAGCATTCTAAGACTTCATTAAATATTTCTCAATTACCTTGGAAGCATTTTCAATTTTTTTGTTGCTCTTAACGTATTAAGTACATGATACTAGCACCGCAGAATATCTTTGTACAACATAGAAAGGCATATCCATGAAATATTTGTTCTATGTCTCTAATAACATCATAAATATTTCAGTCAACTGATTAATTATCCTTAATTATATGCAAGATTTCACAAATTGAACTTTGAACTAGTATGAATTAAATAAGATGTTCAACATTATATGTAATTAATTTTTATACATGTCAGCGCCAATTTAATAGAGTATTTTGAGAAAAACACTTAACTTTGTCCATAGCATATTCAATTAATTGTTCTTTGGAAATATCTGAGTAAAGTATTTTCAATATTATCTTACATACAAAAGAAACTATTGATGACCAAAAATAATGACCTGCACGTTAAAAACATTATATTTTACATATGAAATAAATATTAGAAATTACCAAAAAATACTTTTTCAAAGCTTATCCTTTTTCCTTTTTGTAACTCTACTGTATTTTATGTACATTGAGACATATCCTACAATACTGATTATCGTTTAGGAAATCATTATAAAAAATGAAGCTATTGCTTTTTCATTCTACATGATGTAAAAGAAACAAATGAGTTATTTTGATTTCGTACAATGGCGTAGAATATACGCAACAAGTAAATAAGTTTTCAGTTTTGATTAGTTCACATAAGTTTAGTTTAAATCATTTGTTAGTTGTTATCGAACCAATAAGTTATCTATATCCACAAATAAGAAATTAAGTTTAGTTCATTTTCTCTTCATATTTGTGAAAATATGAAATATAATTCAGAATAGAAGGCTTAAAAGAATTCATTTCTTTCCTTCTTTCTAATCAACTGAAAAAAGAAAAAATATATTTGTTAAAACCTTGTATTCTGATTATACGTTAGCATCTTAAGTAAGTAAAAAATAATTTCTGGGTCATTCGTGCATTTAAAAATCTGAGAAATATTTTAAGTATACTTTACATAACGTGACCAATATAAAGGAATGTATGGACTATTCTTACATTATTAAACAAACAATAACTGTTTGATACTTGTATGTACAATGATGATTATGTATATGGAGTGTCTTCGTTTTAAAATAATTTTGTAAGTATATCACACCTTAAATAGCTACACAGTTTTTATAAGTAGACTATAATATGTTAGATACTTTTCTACAGGTACGCCAATCACTTGAATGCATACTGTTTTTACATATAAAAGAAGTGTTTACTTTTAATCATACATGGCATATAGTCTATCACGCTGGTAGCTCACAAATGCATTAAAATTTCTACTGTACAAATTTTTCACACGTGTATCTAGTGCCATGGTATTTGTATAAAAATGAAAGTATAATAAAATATTACATGAAATCTGATAAATTAATCGCAAAAAAATGCAATTCATTATAGACCTCATAAATCATAAATATTGTTGATGCAAAAAAGTACGTAGGAAAACATTGTGATAAAAAAAAACAAGTCTTATCTACTGCTTATAGTATAAAATTTGTTTACAAGTATACATACATATACTGCCACAAAGTAATGTCAAAGAAAATTGCAAACAGTTCTCTCGAATTATCATCAATGTTTTCCTGATTATATGTTTCACTTTATTACATTACAAAATATTTAATTATCAGTCACTAAAAATTTTGATGGAATGTAAATTTGCTGTTAACATTTAATCTCTAATAAATATGAGCAGATAATCAAAGGAATAATAAAGTTTCATTTCTCTAAAACAGTATTAGATAAAAACAAATCAATGAAATTCAATTCTTAATATTTAAGAAAAAAATGAAATTAATATCATTTTCAACTGTATAATATAACAAGTACGTATATATTATATACGATTTCTCTGAGAACATTAAAAATTAAAATATTTCTTTTTCTCAAATGTTTTAGTCGAGAACAATAGAAATATATAGCATTTTTACATGCTCGATGCTAACAGCAGATGCATAATGTGCGGAATGTACGAATAAAATATTTGTAATACATAAAGTAGAATTTAAATAACGTTTCATAATGGTGGATATACGATGTAGTTCTGGCATTCATAGTATTTCTACAAAACGTACATACCAGTTCTTTACCAAATTAAAAACAGTCTAATCGAATATAAGAGTCTTTTATAAGGATATCTCAGTATTATATATATATGGAATGTTAAACTCTTACTGTACTCAATGACCTGCATTAATACACGATAAAATCTTTTGCAGGAGGCAGTGCTTCGACAACGTGCATCGCTGTATTTTCTAGTTATAATGATTCAATAAACTTCTGCTGCATTATGTACTCTTTCAACTCGTACTGTTGTAATTGAATGTTACTTTCAGGATTGACCAAACTTTTTAGAGCGTAACTTTTACATTATATTCAGGATTTTAAATAAGCCAATGCTATGACAAAAATTCTCTTTCTAATTCAGAAATACTTGGTTTCCTACTTCTGTTCAATCGTCGATTAACTTGTAACGGAACAGTAGCATCTTGATTTTGACCATGCACAGGTATATCGAGTAACGTTTCTCTATGTTCACGTGAAACTCCGTCTCTATCAAAAGTTACCGGAGAAAATCGAACCCTACTTATAGAAATCTGACTGTCTTTAGCCGAAACGTAACTAGAGTCCTCAGACGTCAGAGAATCTGGCGGAGTAGGATTTGTTGGAGTACCCGAACCTGAATTGTTTTTGCTCACACTTTTATTTGGAGAATTGTACGAATAATTAGAACGTTTCAAGCTTGATCGTAATCGATTTACCACTTCCAAGTTACTCGGTCTTTCTCCAGAATTTGAATTTGAATCATGTGAATTCTGTCGCGTCAACAATTGTGAACCATAATCGTGGTTAAGCATACTTGGACTATATGTTCCTACATTGGAAATAATAGCTGAAGATCGTTGATAATAATGTCCAGGTGAATACAAGGAATAGTCATCCTCGTCTTCCAAACGAAACGTTGGATTAATATTACTCTGACTCGACGTGCTTGCGTTTGAAACATTTGATGAAGTACGATGGTGGGTATATGAAGGAAGCCTTGACACTGGCCGAGCTGGACTATTCATACTGCTCGGATTATCATAAGCATGTGGAAATTCAGAACATTCAAGCATTCTATCACTGAAAAATAAAAGTAATATTTATTATGGCTAACATAGTTCAATTTTAATATTATAAATTACTTACTGATAATCTGTAGGTACAAAATACGTTGGTTCTGGTGGTCTATAATATTCTGGTGGAACAACGGTGTACACAGGAGGTCCATAGTCTGGAAAAGGTGCAACGTTGCCCATGTATATCGTTGGTACTCTTTCCATTCTATCAACCCTTCCTGTATCGTGTGTGTACACATCTTCATTACTAGTACTACTACTCTTCCTCCTAGGGCTTGGGGTTGGTGCATTAGAGCTTGTACTGCTTGCATAATGTTGAGGTGAGTCCGTAAATCTCAGGGGTTTGTCGGGCATAACACTGGGTGGAAGACCAGGTGCTATACCACCCATGTTACTCAAAAATGGCCTATGGTACAGGTAATTGTGTTAAAGAGACCAAAATGTAACTACAAATCTAATATTATAATTTTATACCTATAATGTCTTGCTGGTCCATGATACGTGTTATGAGGATACCCACTACTTGAACTAAATTCGTAATCAGGTCCAAGATGACCAGAATTACGATTTGATCCAGTGTCTGCTTGAAACCACCATCGAGGAGGTTCATCTTCACATTCACCGAGCCGCGGATACAATCTTGGATGAATTGGAGATATGTTTGACATTCTTACATCATATCCAGTAGCTACTCCAGCTAACATAGCCGCGATATTGTATAAAACCAGCTCTATTATGCTTAACTTTGGTTTCTTCGTTTCTCCATTATAAAGAGTTGGCATTGGAACAGGCATTGGCATGATGTAAGGTCCAGTTAATCCAGGTTTCAAAGGGTAATCCGATGTTACCCAGTCAGTTGATAGATCAGGTGGTAAAGCCGGATAATCTACAAAAACAAATTTCTACAATAATAATGTTGATACTACTGTATATTCATGAAATACAAATTTAGAATAATAGAGTACAATCTTAATTTTTATTTTCCTTTTTGCAGTACTAAGTAAATCAAAATATCATGATAATTACTATTACTTTTTATCTCTTACCTTTGTACATAATCTTTAAAAGCCTTGTATTACAAGTTTACAATAACTTTAAAATAAACAGTTTAGTATAGTTACGACATGCTTACTTGTTATATTACTTATAACTAATTTGTGTATATAAGCGCAATGTGTCACATGCATCATATTAAAACACTACATGCCACATTCTTATTTTAACTATTCTTATTACTAGTGGTTCTTAGAAAGCTTTCATATTATATTCTAAAACACAATCATAAGCATAAAGCCCATATTTTGAAAGTAACTAAATTTATTGAAAAATAATGGAACTTTGAAAAATAGACAGGGTACAAAAAGAAGGGAACAAACTATATTTAAAACAATAGCCATTTATCATAATTAACTTTAAAACTTGTTCTTTTTCTCTTGATTTTAATTCGATGCAAGTACAAAATTTATATTGAAAATAAGTGTACGATAACATTAAAAAAATTGTTTTACATCGATAGTTCTTAATAAATTATATACAAAATAGGAATATAAAACAATTAATGGAGTATTTCTTTAAATGACATTGGAATTTTAGGGCAAGAAAAGGACCAAACCCAATCTTGATAGTTAGGATCCTACTGGAAGCATGCAAAAGGATTCTTTTACGCTCGATCATTGGCAAACAACAAAAAACAATGTAAAAACATTAATAGGTATAAAAAACAAACTATTATTTATTGTTTATTGCATTTTTAGTTAGTCAATTGATTAAAACAAACGTACAAAAATGAATACATTTCCTTAAAAAATATTGAAAATGCATATTTAAAACATAAATATAAGTATAAATGGACATAGACTTTTTAAGTTGATTAAATATTACCATAAACCGAGCGTAAAAATTCAGAAAACGAAAAAACAAAATTCAACGTGTCCAACTGAAAAGGTTTTATTGAAAAAATTTCTATTTCTAAATACAAGTGTGCGTGTCGCTCCATGTGTTGTATGTGACGTGCGCGAAATTTCTGAATCTAAAAAAGGTCGAAAGTCTACCATGATACAAAAAATGAAATCGCTATTAAATTGAACAGAAAATAATTAACAAAATATGAAATTAATTTAAAGGTGTTTAAGGCAATAAAGAAAAAAATACAACTCTACTTTCACACTTAAAACGTAATACTCTCTATAATAATTTTGTAATTTTGATTTTTCAAATTTCGAAATTACAATTTATACAAAAGGTACAGTTTTCTAGAAACGCTCTTAAATAAAAAAAATTAACTGTAATCCAAAACTTTTGGTTTGTAATGGCAGAAGCACATGATTTTCTTTTCACATAGTAAAGGGCTGTTAGCTCTGCTTTGTTAGAATGTTATATATTTTAGATAACATCAGAAAAGAACCAACACCAGAAAGATTGCATTTACATTTCATGTAATCATTAAATTACAGAGTTCAAAATACGAAGTTCTTATAAATTTAAATTAAATTATAAATAGCTTTTAGATTATTGCAGGGTAGCAGATTACCCTGTATTAAAATATTCTAAAATAATATATTCACTATGTAATTTGATAGACATTTGTATCGTATTAAAATTAATCAACAGAATCACCAATATACGTGGAAATGAATTTTGTTTGTTTGTTAAAAACTGGTTTAATCGACAATTCATCTATTCTTTGATAAAATTTAAAACCCTCCAAGATGGTATATAGTAATAATATATACCATTCCAAACAATTCAACCGAATAAAATTATCTTAAACACAACACTATTAATATAAAAAGATGGGAACATAGTTTTTCTTTAAATGTTTGCAACTGTACATGTGTCATTAAAACATATACTTTTATCTTGAAAATACTTCTTTCTTGGAACGTATACATTGAAATCCAACTAAGTGTTCATGCACTCGTATGAAAATAATTTTAAGCACAATCTATCCGGATACAATTTGTCAAAAAATCAAAAGAAGAAAAAGAAAGAACAAACAAAATAAAATATAATATTTAAATATAAATACGAAAAGGCACTGCCCATTTGAGATCTTTACTTTTATTACAATGGAAAAAAGTTGAAAATATCATTTACTGAGACCAGCCGTGATATGGAAAAAGAAATAAATAGGTCTCTTACAAGGTGTGAAACAGTTGCGCAACAATATAAAGAGACTTACGAGTGGGATAGATGCTTTCCTCAGAAACGCCTGCAGTAAAAAAAATATAAGATTGTTACTAAAACATATAAAACAGAAAGAAGGTGTATTCTTAAAATGCGTTTGCAAATTGTACGTTTTATATGCACATCTTTGTCCTTGCGAAATACATCACTTGTCACTTTTCTTCAAAATTTTAGGTGAGGCGTAAATAATACTATTCACATCTTCTGAACTATGGTGCGAAGGAGTATCTCTCAGTGATTCGATTAGATTTTTCTTTTGTCCATAATTAATTTGTGAATTGTAACGCTCGCAATCCTGGCTATATCCAGGCGTGTGCATGATGGAATTGATGTTGTCAATATCTTCTTCGCAACTACGCAAGTATTCGTTGCTCTTTGACTTTTGATTTAACGAGGAATCTGAATCGAAACTTCGATCTAATTGTGGAATGCGTTGTTTTAAACGGCCCTCTACACCGCTAACAGAATCGAAAGACGTAGGAGATTTTTTACACTTGTTCTCCGGAAACAAACTTAAGGAATTTTTTGAAACAGAACTGTCGTTCGAATGTTCCGAATCGAAATTACAAAGTTCTGACTCGAGGCTCTCGAAATCTATCCCTTCTCGCGAATTCGCGGTCAAGAATTTCGGCATTGCACTATTCTGATCAGAATCACGTTGACTAAATTGTGGCATAGATATCGTATTATCTAAAACATTATATTCTACTTTAACGACGGTGGTTTTATCGTCGAGAGCATCCCGACTTCCCCAAGCCCTCATTTTGTTTAACATTCTTAAAGGACTCTTAGAAATTCTTGATTTGTGCTGGGACTTTTTACCTACAGAATTCTCAGGACTTGACTCTAAGCCGTCTGTGTCACTGATCTTAATGGTAACAGAATTCTTCCGTTCTGCGCTATGTGGAGAGTTTAAAGAGCTCTTTCTTGATCCAGAAGGAGACCGAAAAAAGTCAGCGAAAGCAGCTAATCGTGATTCCGAACTATCTCTACGTTTTGATTCCTTCGACTTGCTTCTTTCGCGCTTTTTCTTCTTCACGCGTTTCGCAGTGCCAACCAAACTACACGCTACGCTCTGTACAAAATTTGAAGAATATGAGTGTTCCCAATCACCTACTATGTGTTTCTGACTTCTAGCGGATGAGGTTTTTAAAGTGTTCCTAGTATTTGATTTTGAGTAACTATCCATGACTAAGTGCTCACTAGAGAAATGAGTTTTGTGATTGTTCGCCTGTTTATTATGCAAAACCACGGACTCGTAAATATCGTTGTCCACGATAACCGAATCTTCACCTATATTGCAAGGTGGACAGCTTTCACTTTTCAGAATGTTGTTAGAATTTTCTGGAATGTTGTTATAACTATATCCTGGGTGATTGTCTATCAAATTATTTGCTGAGGAGTACAACTTTCTGGAGGAGGGGTTACCTATTTCTTGAAGAAGCGGGGAGCGATGTGCCAACAGGGCGGTACGCAGAGGTGTCTTTTCAAGATCTGGAGCAGAACGAGACCACCGCTTGCCACCTGGTGATGCAGGATTTGGTGGCTGTGTGATAATAGCCCCACGCTCGCGTTGGTGGAGTGTTGACGGTCCCCAAGTCTTACCCTTCACTCCATCTGCTGGTACTAAAGGAGGAAGACAAAAAACAAAACGCTACTCACTACGATACTGGTTTTTCCCTCCTACCCTAGACTTTTAATACACGCTTTGAAATAATAAAGGTGTTTCATGTGGTTCTTAATAATATTCTGACAGCAGTAACTCTGATAAAAGAAGTTTCTTTCAATAGAAATTTACAGTATTAAACAGATAAGAAAATTTATTAAATGACTTTACTAATATTTAAATTCCGAATTTTTCTTACAAAAAGAAAAAGAACACAACGTAAATTATATACATGTATGATCTTTAAAAAACAAAAATTTAATTATTCACACCATGCCAATATCAAGATTAAATTAAAACAACGTGTCTACAAAGCGCAAACATTGTGATCCAAATTTCTCGAAAATACTGAAAAATATCTCAGGACAAAATCATTCATACTGAACAACATGTAATTATAATTGTGAACTACTAACGAATATTTTTAATAAACTACTTACATGCTATCGCACGTAATCTTGGAATGCTAGGCGAGCCTGGAGGACTGTTAGGTCTCGATGGATTTCGCACTTTTCCTCGATCCAACGCTGTGTGTTGAACCGTTATTGTATGGCGAAAATCTATGAAAATGAAAATGTACATTGTTATTTGTATCAATTATTGGATTCGCTTCTTATAAATTATAAAATACCTACCGGATGGAGCACTTATATTACTCCCCGGTTCTTTCTTATTCAATTTTAATCTCGATTTCTTGAATTTTCCACGCCTCTTGTTTGGCGTAGGAGTATTTTGTTGCTGAATTATCATTACTGTAAGTTCACGCTCTAATAAGTCTATTTCTCGGGCAGCTAATTCTTGTTCTCGCTGTCTCAAATTTTCTTCGTGTTGTCGTTGTTGTACTTGTGCTTTTGTTAATTCTTCTTCTCTACAGCGCAATTCCTAATGAACAAAAATACACAAAAATTGAACAAACAATTTAACGAATTAAATTATTAAACAAGCAGATAACATGTTTGCTGTTAGAAATAAAAACAGTTGGTGCTTTGATGATAGCTATACGTTATCTTACCTCTTCTAACGATCTGCATGCCTTTGTATAGCATTTGAAAGAACGATTATAAATGTTATTTATAATTGTATAATTTATACACACAGTGATATGTTATCTTTGTACAAATTCATTTCTTTAAAATATAAATTATGTACCTTTTCCTTCATGCGCAATCCATGAAGAACTTGTTCGATTTCAAGTCTCCAATCTTCTTGCATCGTGTGAAACGATTCATGCGGTGTTGCTGCAAATGCACTACGTACTTCATCCAATGCTACTAGAATTTCGGCAAATCCTGGTCTTGAATGACTATCGGAAGCCCAACATGCTAAACAAGTATTTTATTTTTAAAATGACTCGTGTTTTTGAATGTTAATATTGTTATGCAATAACATACCTTCCATTAAAAACCTCCAAGGTTGAGGACAAGTCGATGGAATAGGCAATGTAAGTTTATTAACGGCAACGCCATATGCCACTGCTAAAGCATCTATTCCTTTGTAAGGAGTTTCACCAGTTAAAAGTTCCCATAAGAGCACTCCATAACTACGCATATAAAAATGGATTAGAGAAGAATAAAATAATGCATTAGCAAAGAAAATTTATTAAGGATCAAAGTGACATAGGAGGTACATCAAACTGACCTCCAAACATCACTGGCTTTACTGAAAGTACTCTTTTTAATAACCTCTGGTGCCATCCAAGCATATGTGCCTGCTGCTGACATTCGAGTTGTCTTATAAACTTCCCTTGCCAATCCAAAGTCAGTTATTTTTAAAGTTTTATATTGTAGATCATCATTTTCTATAGGTTCACTCAACAACACTATTACAAATAAAAATTTGTATATACTACAACGTATAAATATGTAAATAAACCATTTAATACACAAATATTTGTCATGTTAACAACTTACCATTAGAACTTTTTAGGTCCCTGTGAATAAGACTTATAGGAGCTTTATTGTGAAGGTAGTCCATGCCACGAGCAATTTGTATTGCCCAATCAACAAGTACATCAGGCCTGATTTTTCTACCGCTAAGAACCCTGTTCAAACTACCACCTCGTGCGTATTCCATTACAAGACACATATTTGGCATTTTTAAACAAACTCCCTCTAATTGCACAATATTCTCATGTTTTAGTAACCAAAATAATTTTGCTTCTTGTCGAACATTTTCTAATGTTACGCTTGGCTCTTCATCTGGATCCTGGCGAGCTGCTTTCACAGCTACTTCATGCTTTTGCCAGAATCCTCTGAAATATTATACACAACCATAAATATTATCAAATAGATCATTATAAATGTGTTATACTTAAGAGATGTAATAAAATTAAGTACCTATAAACTTTCCCAAATCCACCAACTCCTATTACTTCTTCTAATTGTAATTCTTCAAAATCAATTTCAACCGGTTGAACTTTATCAATCACCGATGAAACTCGATCAATGCTATCTGCTTCTGCAACAAAATTGGCTGGAAAAATACCAACTTTCCCATGGATTTTTCCAGTCCACCACCCTTCATCACCTGAGATTTTTGAATCCTTAGATAGAACCTAATGTATTAAATGCAACATTTGTACTTTGACATTCTACTACAAAATCATTAAGTTTCACAAATATATATGAAAAAATTTACCTCAACCGTTTCACCTCTTTGTAAAGATAATTCATCCTCGCCTTGGGCAACATAATCAAATAATGCCGTAAAAATGGTTGAACTATTATCTTGTCTCGATTGGGAAGAGGAATGTGTACCATGAGATGGACTAGTCTGTTGAGAAACAGTTCTTGCAGTACCACCACTATGCGTATCAGAAACACTACTATCAGACATATTGTTGCTGGATGAGCGTCCATACAAATATCCGTAACTAAAATACAAAAATTCAATCAACCACACTTTGACACTGTTACAAATTCATGAAAACTGACAGATTTATAAAGATAAACAATAAGATTCTTCTGCTAGGAAATGCAAAATAAATGCTACAAAACATATCACTCAACCACTCAAACACATAATACAGCTGTCTCTGCTACTAAGTCACCATTGACACAGGATAATATAGATCTCCTACAATGCGATGATGAGTGGTTGAGTAGTATATTTGCTGGTTCTTGTTTGTGTATCCTAGCAACAGAATCACTTTTTGTTATAAATAAGTGTTATACCTCGTGGAATGATTATTTGTTCTACTATTATGTTGATATCTTGGAGACGAATTGGCTGTGTTAGCGCTATGAGAATTAGAGGAGCCATTCTCTGGGTGAAGTAGAAACCGCTCGCTCCGATGACGAGCATCTGGTTGTCCGTGGTCCATCAAGGTAGACAAGCCCCTCGCCGATAGCCCGGCTGGCGGCATATGGCCTTACACTCTTCGTAATCTTTCCCTTTCTGGAAATTACAGCTTTTTGTCTTACAATCCTTGTGCAATATTTACCAGTCAAACCACAAATAATACAAAACACTTCTGATGTATTATTAGTTCTCTTCGAAGAAAACTGAATAAACATGTATAAGAAGTCTATATCCACCTTGTATTATTTTCCCAACACTACACACATCTTTACACATTTCACATTTGTTTTCTACATATCTCTAAAAATCATGAACAATTCACAAACGTGAAACAGTTCTTTCATTTTTCGGTAATAATTTAAATATACACACAGATTTTACAAGAAAAATGTGGGGTGAGAGGAGGTGATCGCCACCACTAACACCCCATGCATAAAAACACTTTAATCATGACCGGCATTTTGATTCGCGAGTCCGACAACAACGCGGCGCAGAATTTCTGATTTTTCTACGCGAATCACACTCCTGCCAGGAGCATTGCGATTGAAATTTCAGAAGAGTAGAAAAAAGCTCGATATGCCATAAAACCACTTTGGAGTCTCGCGTCGGGGTGTGTATACCCACAAGCCACTGTTGACGAAACCGATTCTTTTCATTGAATCGGCATTAGGAGCAGTGTACTCGGGTTGTGTGGAGTTGAAAGCGACGTGTTTGCCTCCCCGAGGACACGACGCTTCGCGTCAGCCCGCACAACGCACGATGATTCCACATTTAACGATAGAAAACCAGCCAGTACTCATAGCAATAACCTAATGGTCGCCATGTTTCGTTTGACGGCCCCACCGTTGACGTGATATATTGGATCACGATTCATAGAGAGAACGTTTGAAAGGTTGCTTTATGTCGTTGCAACTGCATAAGGTGCATTTACAACAACGCCATAAAATTTCATGTTTTGTTTGATTCTATACACTCTGTAATCCATGGAAAAGTGCATGCGCTCTTGCGACCACTGTGGTACCAAACATGTATACTCAGCGTACGGAACATTTGCCGCTTTTCTCTACGTTGTCCTAATTTAACATTACATTTATTTTTTTCCCACCATGTATATAGCCATAAAGACAGAACAATCTATAGAAAGACCTCGCATATGTCATTAAGAATTTCCTGCTTAAAGATGGTAAAGTTTGTCGAATAAAATAAGACGGATGTGGCCTCAAGCTCCACCTCGTGTACTATGGAGTAACTGAATAAACTAACTAAACTATTTTGCAGAACAGAGCATTTGTTTTTATAACCAAAATTCATTCGAATAAACATTTGTGTAAATATTTCTGAATTATGGAATGGATTCTCGATTACGTCGTTTTCTTTTTCAATGATTTTTATGGATACCAATAAATTCAGGTGAATCACAAATGTTCGAATCTTATGGGGAATCGTATGGTTCGTGTCCAAAATCATCTGAGATGTGAAGATGGCTGCGAAGTCAGTAAGTCGTGTGCGCCAAATTCATTGATTAATAAGGCCGAGATAAAATGTATCGCCTTATTGTTTGCCACGCGATTTTTCGAATGAAAAAGATAGGCTACGCATAAAGCTGTAAAGCAGCAAGTGATGGGAAGATGGTGAGGGAGCACTTTTACAACTGGTATGGGTTCTCAAACGCTGGAAATTTTGAGACAAGGCGTCTGGGCGAGCCTGACAGGAGGCTGGTTTTACGATCCGCATCTCGATATTTTTTCAAATACTTTTCACCTTTACATTTGGCTCTTCCTGCTCTGCTTACCATTTACTATATATCTTGTAAGTAAACTAACGTATACATTCTTTTCCACTCGTAACTTACTTATCTTGTATAAATAACATTATACGAAGTGACTTGGTTCAAGTAGTATTTCATAATTATTTCAAACAATAAACAAAAATATTACATGTAAAAGTTACATAGCGTCAGGAAATAATATAGTATTAATAGTTTCTTTACAGGTGGAGACAGAGGAGATCTAGAGGTCAGTTTTGTTCTTTTAAATGGAACATCCAGTTTTTTCTAGAACAGCTAATTCTGAATATAATAGTACTAAGGTATATTTATCTTCCAACTTACCATTCTTGAGATATTTTATTTTGTTCATCCTGTTACCTTCATTGTAATTAGATTGTTGATTGTGTTTATGATGTATCGAAGTATGCAATAGGAATTCATAACATTTGTTCGAAATGTTATATTATTCATTTTATATTCATTAAATGACGAATTTAATGAAACTGCGAGATGTTAAAAATCCAATGATGCTGTTACATGACTTTTATTATCCAGAATTTGTTTATATCTTAAACTTTATGATGAAAGTAACAGGATATATAAAGTTAAATGTTTCACGATAAATGTACATTTATACTCAGAATTTGCTGCTCTAGCAAAAAGATTGAGTATTCCGCTTAAAAATACAAAATTGACCTATAGATCTATATTATGTTTTCATTTGCAAAGAAATCATTGATAATGATATTCTGTTATTTTTAATTTATATACATAAATGTATAGTTTATATAATTATATTCATAACGAATTAAAATTATACATTAGTCTTTTATTTTATAGTATTTTCCACCAACATTGTATGTTTGGGTGGCATATTGTTCTTCGATCGGAGCACTATTTGGTACAATAAAATGTGTCAATCATGCATTGCATTGTGTGTATGATACGACTGAATGTTTAGAAGAATGTGGTCAAGCTATTAGCCAGCAAAGATCAGAAAGTGAAAAAAGACATATAGTGCATAATAAATGCAGGGAACAATCACAAAATCAAGTAGATCATGGAATAGAGCTCCAAGTTTTAAGCGGTATAGTAGAGAGTTTTTTATATTTCAAATTTATCACACACATGAACATAGATTTGTATTTAACTTTAAGTTATATTCAAATTATGAAGAAATAATTTATAAGGCCTTTTGAAATAGGAAAAACAGATACACCACCTGTTGAATGCTCATCACGCAACTCTTTTATCGAATCAAATGTGCAAAATGCAGATGCAGATAGTATAACATCCGAGTACAATCGAGATAAACCTAGTTCAACTATAGATTTGAAGGTAGAAATTCATAGGAAAAATAGTTCAGAAAGTTCAGAAGAAGCACAATTAACTAAACCAATGGTACCTAGTATAAATGTACATGAAGCAGAAATAGCTGCTACTCAACACTATGAACCATGTTTTCGAAGTAAAAGATACGGTATTACTTTTTTAACTTTTATATTAAACTTTAAGGTCATTGTTTTTATGATACTAATATTTATTTTGGAAACGTGCAGAAAGAAGGTTAAAACGACTCAAGTGCGTTGTTATTACCGAGCAAGATCGACAAGGTTCCAGAAAATTGTGCAGGCATGCATCTAAAGATTCACGAAATCGTCACTCTAAACAGGGTAGTCTTGGTAAAACAGGTTCTGAAAGTCAAATAAAACAAACAAGTTCATTAGAACTGGAAGACCATGCAGATGATTATCCTTATTGGAAGTCCAATCAAAGTGTTCGACGTCTTAATTCTAATTCAATTCCAATGGAAACTCATTTAATGAACGATCATCCGCAGAGTTTAGAAATTATATCAAAAAAGGAAGACATGGACAAAAATAAAATTTCATCACATCCACAATCCTTAGAGGTAAAAACGAAGTAATATACATATTTAACAAGAAATATAATTGAAACTGCGTTTCTATAATATTTTTCTAAAGGTTATCACAAAGAAACCACATCAACAACTTATTCATCCACAAAGTCTTGAAATAATTGGTGCTACTAACAAAAATATGAACTCTACAGATGACAATAATTTACCTCTTCACCCACAGAGTCTTGAAACAATTAATACTAAAAAGGTATGTTTAGATTCGTCTATTAGATTATATATAACATTATATTAAAAAGGCACATTTGTTTCAAAGGTATTACCTCAGAATACATTGAGAAAAAATCAACTCCAGTTATTACCATATCTTAGTTACGGATCGGAGATAGTACATCCTATAGCAGAACAAAGCGATGAACAGTTTGCTAATGAAAGTACAGGAGGATTTAGTCTTCGCGATTCTTGTAGTCCATTACTTACTCGAAAAAGTTGTGAAACTAATACTACCTCAAATCGAGACAGAAGTCTTAGTACTAGCCGATTTGAAGATAGATTTTCAAGGTAATTTAAAAGCAATAGAAATGATTATAGAAATAAAATGATGAAATTACTAATTGATTATGAAATTAGTAATTAATTAATTAATGTAATTTTGTTGAAACTTAGATTTAATGGGGATGCTGGTATAGATAATGATTCTGCAAATTCTCGTGATGCCCTGATCGAAGAATCAAAGCCTGGTGTGAAAAGAAGATACAGTAACGCGAGTCAGAGCAGTCGTGAATTTTCAGATGGAGAGAGGTCCAAAGACAAAGATAAATTGAAAAATATAGATGATCCGTTAAATGTTGGAAGTGTTCTTGGAATTGATCGATTATTCGAAGGCAATGATTGTACATTAGAGTCACGAACGAATAAAGGCAAGTTTAACTTCTTAAACGTCATTCACACTACTAACACTATTGAATTGTACTTTATGCGAGGAAATACATCAATAGATCATTAACATCCGTTAAGAATGAAAAGTGAAATTCATATGAAAAGTATTTAATCATACTGTTAAAAGTACAAAAAGGGTGAACAATATAGTTTATAAATTCTCATTCTATAGGATTGCATGATAAGGAACCAGATTCTGGTTCGTCTAGTACGATACTGAGCATGGAAAACGAGGTGAAACGAAAGTTACTCCCGCAATTAGAAACAGATAACAAACGACATCAAGGTGCGATACCTAAACAAAGCCGTCCAAAACCTGCAGTAGAAGCTATAGATGATAATATTACAACTGTTGAACAAACCCGGCCAAGACTTAAACGAACGTTAGAAGTCAGAAGAGACAAAAATAGAAGAAGAGAAGGAAGATTTGAGCAAACTAGCGGTTCGAACAACGAGTTAAGTACACTTAGCCTTGCATCTTCTTTGTTAGCTACGTTATTGACTTCTGGTCGAGAGTTACCTGGTCAATCTAGTACAGTGTCCGATTTAAGATTAGGCTGTAGTTCAGAAAACCGAAACTCACGAAGAAGGCGAGGTCCTTTGAAGTGCTCAATTAGACCGTATCGCGTACCACGAGATAGAAATCGGGACGACAACGTTGTTCCGTTCACCGCTCTACTTGGATTGATATCGAACGAAGAATGTCATTTGGTCGCTAACCATAACGACACCATAGAAGCAACCGTACCTTATTTCCACGACGAAAGCGAACGCTGGTTAGCCTATACCTTCGACGAGAAAACATCCGACGCTGCTGCAGCTGCGCAAGTTCCTTCTAGCAATAATGATAAATTGTTGAACACCTTGCTACGTCAACAACTTAATCAAAATTTACGTTACGATAGAAATTGGGAATTAACGGACACTCTAAGCATCAGTTCTAGTAGTCCATCGTTAAATTCTCTTGATTTAAGTATACACATAGATACACCGCCTGTTTTGTCGAGCCCAAAAAGCAATCAAACAAAGGCACAAAATTCATTTTCATCAAATTTAGTTTCTTCGAATACTGGAAGTACTAATCACTCGACGGGAGAAACCTCGGAACGAGATCAATTTCATCAGAATGCTGGGAATTCGAATCAGTGTGAACCTGAGACCTTAGAACGTGATCAATTTCATCTGTACATGTCACGTATCGAATCGATGACAGATAGAAATCGAAGATTACGGAATTTATTAGGATATTTCAATTTGAACCTTTACCCAGTTGACTCTAATCGTCGAGTGTCTGTCTTAACGATGCCAACGCATCAGGAAGCCGATATGAACACAAATTTATCTTGGAACCGATTTATCGGTGGTTTAGATGGTTCTGATTCTAAACCCAAACAAGCAAGACATTACTATAAATGGAAAATTGGGAAATTACCGCACATCAAAGTGCGATTCGATCGTTTATTTTTGTTAGCTTTGTTGGATCGAAATTTGACCATTTTTGAGACTATCATTTCGACGTTCCTAGCAGTCGCCGTCGCCGGATTAGGTCTCTTGTTGCTTCAACAAGGATTTTACCAAGATATATTTGCTTTCATGTTCTGCTTCGTAACTGCCGGATGTCAGTATTCATTGTTAAAGTCTGTTCAGCCTGACGCTGCTTCTCCGACGCACGGATTTAATCGCATAATAGTCTTCTCCCGCCCCGTGTATTATATATTATGTTCAGGGTTCATATTAATTTTCAACGAATCTTTGAGGAACTTTAAAACATCCGAGTTTCGGATATACGGTTTACGAATCGCAGACTATGACGTTATATTGCAGATACGCAATATTTTATTAATTTTTCTTTTGTGCTTTCCACTTGTATTTTCTTTGGGTTTGCTCCCTCAGATCAATACTTTTTTAATGTACCTCTGTGAACATATAGACATTCATTTGTTTGGAGGTAACGCTACCACTAGTCTACTTTCTTCCATATACTGTCTCTGTCGCAGTATCGTCACTGTAATTATTTTGTACGGGTTTGCGTATGGAGCGCTCACAGAACCCAAGTCTTCGCAACATATTTTATTCTCCATTTTTGCGGGCTTGTTAGTCGCTGTGTCTTATCACTTGAGCAGATCTTCCTCGGATCCCTCCGTAATGTGGGATATTGTTAAAGCAAATTTGTGGCCACCAGAAGTTTATATGGAAGAAAAGGAAGCTAAGATTATTGAGAATACATCCCGTAGAGACAATTTATCTGCACCGTACAAGGAAGCAAAATTCAGAGCATACAGAAGAAAGAAACATGTAAAGATTGAAGTTGGCGAACAAATGTCTGATACAGAATTAGTAGATCCGTTGCCTGAAAAGTTGAGAGCAACAGTAAATGCAAGATTAAAAAATGACTTAATAGTGTGCACAGTGATAGGTACTTTGTCTTTCGGAATTCATTGTTCAACCGTATTCACAGCATTACAGCCAGAATTAAACCCTGTTTTATGGGGCATCGCAAGTTGTCTAGGATTTCTGTTACATTACATCGTACCACAACTGAGGAAAGAATTACCATGGTTGTGTTTATCAAGACCAGTACTGCGTAGTCATGAATATCCTCAATTTGAAGTTCGTGAACCAGTGAAAATTATGTGGTTTGAAAAAGCTTATGTTTGTCTGTGTTTCCTGGAAAGGAATGTTTTGTATCCAATAGTGTTTCTAGGAGCACTTACAGAGTGTTCGTCAAAAATTGTATCCAAATTTGGAGAAAGTATAGGGGCATTAATTATAGTTGTCTGCGGATTGAAATCCTTAAGGTCTGCATATTCTGATCCATCAACACGTTACCTGGTTCTAATTTTTGCTGTTCTGTTTTTCAAGCTAGATTTCCGAAATCTCAGTGAAACATTTTTGGTAGACTATTTTGTAACAGGAATAGCATTTGCTAAAGTTTATGAATTACTTTTGAAAATTCGATTCGTAGTTACATACATTGCACCCTGGCAAATTACATGGGGTAGTGCTTTTCATGCATTCGCTCAACCCTTCTCCGTTCCACATTCTGCCATGCTGTTCTTGCAAGCGGGTATCTCTGCGATTCTGAGCACTCCTCTAAATCCATTTTTGGGCAGTGCAATTTTTATATCGTCGTACGTGCGTCCGGTAAAATTTTGGGAACGAGATTACAAGACAAGAAGAGTAGACCATTCGAATACACGAATGTCTTCGCATTTGGATCGAAATTTGGGTGCGGATGATAACAATTTGAATTCGATATTCTACGAACAATTAACGAGATCGCTGCAACACAGCCTTTGTGGAGACCTTGCTCTTGGCCGCTGGGGAAACGTTGAACAAGGCGACTGTTTTTTACTAGCATCCGACTACTTGAATTGCTTAGTACACATTGTACAATTAGGCAATGGATTAGTAACTTTCCAATTGAGGGGCCTTGAATTTCGAGGAACGTACTGCCAGCAAAGAGAAGTACGTACCATTGTTATAAGTACGTATCTTGCTACATGGTCCTTGATAAAACTAGTAATTCTTTTTCTGCTATGCCTGATTATATTTAAACAGAAGCCATGTAGCAAGACTGTAATATTTCACAAACTATTATCCAGTTTAAACCTTACTATTTTTCATTGTAGGTGGAAGCAATATCCGAAGGAATTGAAGATAACAACAACTGTTGTTGCTGCGAAATGGGACATTTTTCTAATGTGTTGAGTGTGAACGCAGCCTTCAGACAGCGCTGGCTAGCTTGGGAGCTTGCTAGCTCCAAATATGTTCTAGAAGGATACTCGATCTCTGACAATTCAGCGGTTTCTATGCTTCAAGTGTTTGAATTTCGCAAAGTACTAGTTACTTACTATGTAAAAAGCATTGTTTTCTATACCGTCAAATCACCAAAATTAAAGTATTGGCTAGAGAATTCTGAAATTGCGGATGCACTTAGTGTAACTCTTAAAAAAAATTTCGTTGACTTGGATCCTGTGTTTAATATGAGCATTCACGAGGATTTTGACTTTCGTGCTAGCGGAATTACAAGAAGCAGTTTCTGCAACGTTTATTTAGATTGGATACAGTATTGTGTTACTAAACATGATAAGGTATTGACTTAAATATTTACTGCATGTATTTATTAATTACACTGATATTCATATTCAGTTATTTGTTTCAGACATTAGATAAGTCAAGAAATTCACGGCTAGTGTCTTTATGTCTCGCATTGAGCCTTTTGGGGAGACGTGTTTTAGGAGCAGTGTCTAACAATACTGTTTCGAACGTGGAATTTTTTCTGTATGGATTGCATGCTCTATTTAAAGGTACAATTAATATTAATATTAATATTAATATTACCTTAATATAACCTAACCTAACAATAATATTAATATTAAGAATTTATTTTATCCAGGAGATTTTCGAATAACATCGGTTCGAGACGAATGGGTGTTACTCGATGTCGATCTGTTAAGAAGTGTTGTAGCAAAAGGAGTAAGAATGGCGTTAAAGTTACATCAGGATCATTTTATGAGTCCAGAACTGTACGTTGAGCTGTCTGCTCTTTATGAAGCTATAGACAGTCACGACAAGAATCTTGTGATCAGTCATGAAGCAGATCCGCTCTGGAGAAATGCAGTTCTGAACGGCGCCCCTAGCCTTCTAGCTCTTAGGTAATTTTATATTATAATTTTCTCACAAATATTGTCACAACATTATCATAATTCTTGATTTACAGACATGCACTTGATGACGGCATCGACGAATATAAAGTAATAATGCTTAATAAACGTTTTTTAAGTTTCCGTGTAATTAAAATGAATCGCGAATGTGTCCGTGGTTTGTGGGCTGGACAGCAACAAGAATTAATATATTTGAGGAATAGAAACCCGGAGCGAGGCTCTATACAGAATGCAAAACAAGCTCTTAGAAATATAATAAATAGTTCTTGCGATCAACCGATTGGTTATCCAATTTACGTTTCGCCGCTGACAACTAGTTACGCAGAAACTAATGAACAGTTATGTTCAATAATTGGAGGACCTTTGAGTCTTGGAATAATCAAGACTAACATTTTGAAATTGTGGCAAAGGTATGTCTACTCATATCATACAAGTAATAATCGTATAACAAAATCTGCCCAATATTAAAAAGTCTGTTATCATTAAAAGTCTTATTTACAGAGTTAGAAGAAGATGTGGTCAAGGTTGTTCTTCCGGAGGCACAGGATCTCAAGATGATGGAGGTTTTGGTAACGATGGAGTATATGCAATGACTACATACAATATTCATTTAGGTACGTACAGTCATTATATCAATATAATTGTTTTACAATGTATATATAATAAAATTGTTAACAATAGGCTACAGTCAGTCAGGTCACCATACATCCGGCTCACAGTCCATAGATTCTGGATGTCAAATTGGTGGATCAACTGGACGTGGTTCTTTGGGAAGAACAAATACAGGATCTCTAGGTGGAAACAGAGGATCGCTGGCTTCGGTTGGTAAACCTACAAGCTCAACACTTGCTAGTTTAGCTGGTCTTCTTAGTAACAGCGATATTAAAACTGAAACTAAAAGCGAGACAAGTTTCACCAGTAAATTAGAGAAAGAGGAAGTCTTACAAAGAGTACGGGTAAGTAGAAAATAGGGCAGACTAATTGACATTATTATTAAAAATAATTTGCTTTTATTATTTAGATCATAGATCCTAATCAAGTGTACGATGCTATTAATTTGGGTCGTCGCATAGACGTAATTTGGCCAGACGAAAGGATGAGGCAACAAGGCGGTAGATCTGGATGGCAACATTGGGTACCTGAAAGAGGTATGGAAGGATGCGTTGTTCATTGTTGGTCCCCTAATCATCGTGATCCTAATCGGCGGTCTCACGTAGATAAAGTAATCTTACTTGTCAAAATTGACGATAAATATGTTCCGATAGCAGAGCAAGGTGTACGAAATTTGGGGGCAGAAGTGTGATGAAGTATTTTTGAATCCTTTATAGTAATACACATAACGATTTTCATACAGTCTTTTTTTGAATCACGCACTACGAAATAGAATTAATAGAAATGCGTTAAAAATTTAAAAAATTCATTCCAGTTACAAAATGATAAAGTTCTATCGTAAATGATTATTCTTAAAATTGTACATAATGAAAATCGACGAATTTTAAAGACTAGTTTCCTAATTCTACATACACACATGTATATATACAACCACAAAATACTCTACGTTATACAATTTTTCTAAGATTTTCATTTACCGGATTTTTTCCCGTTTTTCGTTTTTCTCTCATTTTCCTTCCATTACAATAATATTTAATAGATGCAATTTCCTTGAAATGTTTGGAACAAACATGAATTTTAAAACCTTACATAAAAAATTAGTTAATATTTTATCTATTATAATCCAAGGATTATTCATACATATTTACTGTGAAGACTAATCACAAAGTAAATTGTATCATGTTGTATCATACTATGTATCATATAACTATTAGATGATTTAGTAATAACAGAATCTAGGTGTTACTTGTTGTTAATAAGCTAAATTATTTTTATCGATATAAAGTTCATGATTGGGTATGTTCAGATTCTACTGATTTACATTGTTCATATTTCAATTATTATATGTTTTTTATAATTTATAATTGTATAAAACATATAATTCTGAGAAATATAATAACGTATAAGAATAGCGATTGTTATAAATGTTCGTGAATTGCATTGTTTGTTAAGGAAGAAAGATATTTGTGTTACTGTTATTGAACATGCCCAATAACAACAAGTAACATTAGTGAAAATTTGTATATAATATCATTCGTGTTTTTCTACATTTTGTTACATTTTTTTTAAACTACTTGATATAGATAAGTTGTAAATATGCGCAACATTTCTGCAACATTAAAGCGTCCAAATGTATTTACTGAACATGTAATTTTGTGGGGCCATAAAATCGCCTCTACAGAACATATCGGTGCACTAATAGCAATGTTATATATATATCTTAAATTTTGTTTGTATGCGTTTATTGTATGAAAATTAGGATAATCGTGTTGGTGTGTTTACATGTAGTATGTATTCCGTTATAATTTTCACTAAAAAGAAATTAATATTACATTGAACATTACTTCGTGTAAATACACCCACATTTATCCGAAGAATAAAAATAAATTTATTATCATTTTTTCTTTTAAAAGACTTATTGAACATCTTTTCCTAATTTTGTATATATTTACATGAATTACTTCTCAATTTACTTATTTAATTGCATATGTTATTCAAATTTGAAACATGTATACTGGTTATTATTAAGAAAACAAGGTTGCTTGCAAAAACAAAATACTTTTTGTTAAAATTTTGTTTCAACAAGAGTTACAATATATTTCACATAAGAATAAAAGGTTTTGCAAGTAATCAAGGAATCACAGCATTGCCTTATCATGGTGTCTCTCGAAAGCACTTGACTGATAAAAAAGATTATAGCTAGTCTTTTAATTGTTGGTATACATTTATGTATCGCTTGCTGCCAAGGGATAAAAAACCTCTTTTACCAGGGAGTACATGGATTAAATCACTTTTATTAAGTTTTAGGCCTACTATGTGTAATCGGCAACAATTTCATACGTAAATTGTACAAAATTGTTTCATAAGTTGAAATAAACCTGAAGTAGAAGCTAGATTAAATTAACAATTTGTCCATAATTCCTACATCAGTCACGTTTTATCATCTTAGATTTACGTTCATTGTTTAATAATAAGCCATTGTTAACTTTGTTGCATAATGTGCTTCGAATGAATTTTATTGAAATGAAATAAATTAATCTTATTAACTGTATTCTACTAAGAAATATTTAAGTAGTGATAGCAATTATGCAAAGAAAGTAAGTTCCTTGAAATATACTTCAGTTTTAACATTAGGATTAGTTTAATAAATACAGCTAGTGTGACGATTTCGTGAAATAAAAAAAGGCCGTTAATATTAATTATTATAACATATTGTACTATGTAACATACAATCAGTTTAAAAAAATCATTTTATAATCATGTTATAATATTACTATTACATATAATACATTATTAAGAGTTTGTAAAATAACTAACAAGTTATTATTAAAAAAAAAAAATGATAAATAATAAATATGTTATCTTTTCTGAAATTACAATCTTGTTTCATCCCAATATTAATGAGGAACACAAAATGTTGAATCTTAAATATAACTTATAATAGCAAATACATCTATTATAACTTGAATTTATTTTCACGATTTAATATATAAGTTGCATTTTAAAAGTTTAACTTTTAATAAAATATTTGTTTTAATATTGTTATTTACTCATTAAAGTTAAGAGAATAAGAATTGTATAGCATAATACAATAAAAGTATTTTTAATTAATTGCTCTAACAATTTTTTTTTTTACAATATTTAAAATATTCACGTTCCATTTGGTCTTTTATCTTTTTCAGAATTTGTGGAATTCGTAGTAAGTTTCTGTATTAAATTTTCTATAATATCTATACTAATCATGCCTACAAACTTATCAACAACTAATCCACTTGAAATTACTGTAATAGCTGGCACAGCTTTTACTTCAAATATATCTACTAATTCTGGATTTAATTCTAGATTCACAATAGCAAGATCTAGTTTATCCATTGGTCCTATAAGTTCTATTAGTTTTGGTGTCAATATTTTACAAGGGTCACACCAATCAGCATGAAAATTTACAATAACCGGTACAGAACTGTTCATTACTTTGCTAACAAATTCACTATTACTAGTTATTTCAAATTGTTTATTCTTTTGATAAGATGAAGAAATATGCCTGACCAGAGCTGTTGGAAGTTTACTAGTATTGCGCAACATTTTGTATTGTAAATACTATATATCATAAAATAAAATAGTGTTGAGCAGAATTATACAGTTTTGTTCAGTTGCAGCATTTAATTAGTAAGAAGTCTTCATGTTTTATTAATGGCTTCTGTAAGACAATATAAATAAATAAAAATTAATATGTTTGCTTCATTGTTGGATTTACCTTCACATATATATAAAATTATAATAGAAAATACTTACAATAAATCTTTAAAAAACCCAATTAGATATTCGAACAGGTCTTATTGGTTCTGTCAATGTAAATTTAAAATATCCTACTAGACCAATGACAGAAGATATAGACAACAATACAAGTAATATAATACGCCAGATAAACAAGTGATCATATATCTATAAAAACAGATTAAAATAGATATTATGCAGCTGTTGTATAAATATATATCAAATCTTTGTGATGGAATTTATGTACCTTCTTTCCTGTGGTATTAGATTTCTCCGATGTTTTTGGCAAAGCGATTAAAATTATTGTACATACGCCAACAATTAATATAGCAATAATACCAATTTTCTTTTCAACTCTTAGTGATATAACAAATATCAATAGAGCTATGGCCCAAAGAATCAAAATAACAAACAGTCCTATGCCAACTCCAAATACTAAATTACTCATATCACTAAAACAAAAAATTTAAACTCCTGTATATGTGCTTAAACGTGTATTACAAAAAAAGTATGTCGTAAACCTTAAAAATAAAATTTATATTCTGTACTTGTGTATTTTGTAAGTCCATCCCAAACTCATAGAAAATAGTATACAAATAAATGAAATTATTTTATGTAAAGTTACATGTAATGTAATTATAAATATCTTGTATAAAAAAATTAAAAACTGTTCAGTGCATGATATTTACATATAATCACTACACTAGTACAACAGAACATTGCAATGTAATCTGTACCTACCTTATGACTACAAAGTGTTAGAACATTTTATGTGACAGTGATCTGACAAAGCAACTTCGCGTACGTTCCCGCTGCTCGACTGAACTAGGAAGACACCCTATTACTTGTACTTTTTCATTTTATCATATACATTGTGTACAATATATACGAGTACTGAGAAAAACTTACAATCTGGGACGTATACAAAATAATGAAGTGCTACATATACATATTCTAGATTAGAAAATGTAACTACGTGCGCTGTATGGACGAAAACCACTCGTTCGTAACCCTATTTTTTCACTGAAGCACAGCAACACCTAGTGATTTAAAGCAGAACATAGGGAAGTTTATATTATGTTTATGATCAAGGATTTCCTGTTACGTGAAGGGAGCAGTAATTGTTTGAAATTGAACGTCTCCTCTATAGAACGTTGGAAGTATATAACGGAAAAGCTTTGTATAAATTCTATGTATTATCGTTCTTCTAAGAATAATAAAGTATTTGTGTTTTTAAATCATGAGATTATGGACTGAAATTATATTGGAATGGGTAAATAATAATATCGTATACGTGTAAAATTAATGCATGTTATTTAACGCGATTATTTAGTTACAACGAATAGACACAAATTTTTATTTATATTATATTAAATATATTTGTCACTTATGGTGTATGACAATTTTTACTGTGGTCATAAAAGACTTCCAAGTCTTTGTGTATTATATAATATTTTAATTGTAATATGTACCGAAATGTAATACAAACAACTTTAATATTTACAGCTGAATTGTTTAGATGTACTGGAAACGCAAGTTAATAATTTAAAAGAATTAGACGATGGAAAATTTTATCAAAAGTTAATAAGTTTATTGTAAGTAACAACATAACTCTTTATTTATTGCTTTTTGAAAGTATGTTATATGTATTATTTTCACTTCACAGTAAATGGAAAGGTGCTGAAGACATTTTAGATACAAAAACCATTATTAGACAATTCTTACAAGGTATGTAGATATGTATACAAGGTATCTTAAGAATAAATTTTTTACTGGCAAAATTTGATCATTTAAATCTGAGATATTTATTATAACTTGTTTGCTTATTATGTGTTTTATACCAATATGTGGTACAATGTTTTTTTCTGTTTGATGCAGATGAATATCCTGAATTTAAAATTGATTATAATGATTTGGGAGACAAAGAACATGTATACATTGCATCCTTATTTTTATTACACGTATCTCAAGAACCAGTGTTTTATCAACCAATGTGCATGAAACTTCAACATGAAACTCAATTGAAGATCAAAGCATTTCTTGAAATGATTATTCCTTATGGAAAAGGTATAAATAGAGACACGCTCAAGGAAATAATCAATGAATTAGAGGATAATGTACCAGACACACCTGTAACACCAAAGACAAGAGCTCTTAAAGACTTCTTTAACTCTCCTGCTGCACGGTCTGCACATATCAATAAACTATTGAATGAAAGAAATTATGAACTAAGGAAACTGAAGAGTCAATTAGAAGTAGAAAGATTTGAAAAGTCTGATTTACAGGAAGATCTAAAAATTCAACAAAATAAAGTACAAAGTCTGCAGCAAAAGTTACAGGAAAAAGCTGCAGAAATAAAAGGTTTGCAGGAAGATAGATTTAGACAAAACACTCCACAATCTTGTAAAAAAAATAAAAATACTGTAGATCATGAACAATATTATAAGAAGGAAATAGATTATTTAGAAGATCAATTGATGCAGAAGCAGAGTGAAGTCGATAAACTTGAAGAGTCAAATGATATCTTAACAAAAAAATTGTCGTGCGTGGAAAAGAAATGTACGTATTTTAAAGAAAGATTAGAGAGCTGTGAACAATCTTTGGAAAATGCACAAATGCTGGGGGAGCTTAAGGATAGAGAACTGACAAACTTAAGAATGACTAATGAAGAATTACGTATGCATCTGAAAGAGCTTAGTAAAACAACCACGCAAGATCATAGTTTTGAAATAATTGATGGAATTGCACCACTAATATCACCTTCCTCGTCCTTGAACAGTAGTGAAGTTTTAAGTTCTGTAATTGATATTCAGTTACAAGAAGCAAAAGAAGAATCTGCTTCGTTGAAAACGCAACTTGATGCCTTAAACAAAGAATTAGACTCTGTGATTCTAGATTATAAAAATACAACGAAATTGTTGGAAGAAAAAACGCAATTATTACAAGATACAAAAATGAAATCAAATATCGCTGTAAATAAATTAAAAGAAGAAATAGAATCCTTGCAAAAAGAAAAGGAATCTTTAATTGATGAAAATAAAAATTTACAAAATGTATGTACTTCTCAGAAGGAATCTTTATTACAAAGTGAGAAGTCTAAAAATAATTTAAATACCGAAATAAGTAGTTTAAGAGGAGAAATTAATACTTTAAAAGAATCTCTAGATGATAAAAATGTACATAATACAAAATTAAATGCTGAACTCGCAGAAATTAAATCACAAATAAATGAAAATCTCAAGTACATTGAAGATTTAACAGATCAAAATAATTTATACAAAACTTCTGCTGAATTGTACAGTAAAAATTTGAAGAAAATTATACTTGATATCCCACAAATTGTTTGTAATGAAGTTAATAATTTAGACAATAAAACAACTACTCAACTTATAGAATGTCTTCAAACATCATTACACAAATTTAATAAAGAATATCTCTCAAACCAAACGGAACTTTGTTCGCTTAATAATTTATTAGAGGAATCTAAATTAAAAATACATGATTTTCAATCACAGGTAGTTGAATTAAAGAAAAAAGACGAACAAAATATCACAGAAATATCAAGTCTAAAAGAAACAATTAATCAAAATGTAAAGGAAATCGATAAACTTACTAATGTTGTAAAACAACATTGTGAAGAAATTGTACATTTAAAAAAAATCGAAGTGCAAAAGCAAAGTTTGGAAAAAGATTTGTATACTTGTAAAGAAGAAATGAATAAGAAAATTTCATTATTAAAATTTTCTCAAAATTGCATGGGAACTTTGAAAAGTGACCTTCAAAATCTTGTAACAGAATTTCATGCAATAAAGAAACATACATCAAATCAATTAATTGACTGTGAAAAGCAACATAAAGATACTGGTAATAATATTTTAAATGCTTACAAAACACTATATTCCAATTATACTAAAGAGCAGTGCCTCAGAAATGAACTTGAACTTGAACTCACTAATAATAAAAAAGAATTAAAAGATAGTCAAAATTTAAATATCACTTTAGAAAATGATTTAACAAAAACTGAACAACTATTAAATAGTTTAAAATTAGAATTAACAGATATTAAAGACAAATTAACCAAGTCTACACAAAACTTGGAAAAGCTTGAGGAAGTAAAGGAAATACTTGAAGTACAACAAAAAAATCTACAATCTGAAAATGAAGAAATGTTATTAAATTTAAATAAAATAACTGGTGAACTTAGATTATCTCAACAGCAAGTATCTAATATTTCAGAAGAATTAAAATGTAAGGACGGGAAAATTAAAAATTTAGTAGCAGATATTACTTCTTTAAAATCAGAAAAAGAACAGGTGCTTTGTTTAAAAATGGAAGAAGAATCTAAGTTGAAAGATTTGATAAGAAATTTAGAAACAAAACTGCTTGAAAAACAGCATTGTTTAGATCAATTAAGTATGGAAATGAAATCAAAGCAAGAAATGCTGGAGCATGAACAAAACAAGTTAGAGAAGTTAACAGCAAACACAACTATTTCTGAAAAGAAGATGAAAGAAGTAATTTCAAACTTGCAAGAGGTGAGAAGCAATCAAGATGCAGTTTTAACAACGCAAGAAAAAGCTTTGAAAGAAAAATGTTTAATAATAGAACAACTTCAGAAAGAATTTAGTGAATCAAATAGTACACTTCGCAAACAACTTGAAAATGAAAAGTTATTATGTCAGAATTTACAAAGTACAAATTCCCAGCTACAAATACAATCATATAAACAAACGAAAACAATAGAAGAACTACAAGATACATTAAAGAGGGAAAAGAATAAACTTAATATAAGCGAAGAATACTGTCGAACACAAGATGCAAAGAAATTACAAATTGCTCAAGTTTGTGAGCAGTTAAGGGATTCAATAAGTGATTTAAAGTCAGTAATAGCAGAAAATGATCCGAAAAATGAAAATCTTTCTGCTGATAGTATGTATGAAGAACCATGTACAGATAGTGATGATGGAACTGAGAATATTTTAAAAATTATAAAGAGTTCCATTAATGAAGTAGCTGTTTCACGCAAACTAATTTTATGCTTGTCCAATATAAATACGAATTTAGGCAAAACTTTGCAAAGTCAAAAAGAAATTATAAATAGTTATGCTACAAAACATGAAGAGTATATAAAACATTTAGATAATATTATTAAACATAAGGATATATTACAAAATTCTTTAGAAGATGTTACAAAATCAAGAAATGAATTGGATACATCTCTAAGCGAATTGAAACAAAGATGGGATAAATTGTTAACAAAATTTTATAGCATTTTTATAATGGACAAATCTGTGTGCAATGAACTGAAATGTATACAAGATAAAAAGGCACATCTTGAAAATACGTTATTTAAATTGTATAATAATCATTATCAAAATGTACAGTCATTACATACTATTTTATGCAACAAATTTGTGTGGCTTGAACACCAGTTAAAAGATATTTATTTGGATCCAATAAGAAATAAAAAGCTATTTGAAAATTCAGATATATTTTGCGATGAAAAAGCTATAACCGAGGCAGCCTTACACAAACATATACAATTACAAAGAGATGTTGCTGAATTTCAAGAGGAAATACATAATTTTTCAAATTTTGTTACTTCCTTTGCAACTGAGTTTGAATCTGATGAGACAAAATTCCAGTCTGAAAACGAGAAGAAGCTGCTCCTACAGATTAATCAATTAATGGAAGATAAACGCAATGTAGAACATAAGTTAGACAGTGTACAAATACAAAATGCAAAATTAGAAATTGAAATTGAAGAATTCAAGATCAGGACGAACGACTTGAAAATATCATCGTCAAAGGAAACGGATGATTTGAAGAAAGAACTAATGGAACTGAAGAAAGAAAACTTAAAGTTAGAAGAAGAAAGAAATGAATTAATGAACCGGCCAAAGAAAGAAGACGTCGATAATCAATTGAAAGACATCTATGACAAATATAAACTTAAATTAGATGAAATTAAACAGAACATGGTAGGCATACTAATATCTTTTATTTTCGCAATCATTATGATTCGCTTATTTCTGTAACATATTGCAGAAAACAGCATATAATGAGCAAATAGCAAAGCTAAATAGAGAGCAAGAACAGTGCATACAAGAAAGGTTGGAGTCGCTTCAAAGAAAAATGGAATTACAGTGTCGCAAACAAGCAGATGAATTAAGTAAATATAAAGCACACGTTGCTAATATGAGTACACAAATGTGGGATATCGGAGAAAAGCTCTTAAGTGAACAAAAGGAGAAGGAAGCATTACAAAGAGAAAAGGAAGAATTACAAAAGGAAAAGGAAGAATTACAAAGGGAATTAAATGCATTAAAAGCTAAATATCAAAACTTAGATGAAAAAGTTCTTTCCTTAATGGAGCTTAAAAGTTCTAAGTAAGATCGTTTTTATTATGGTAGTATTCAGAAGTTGATTTATTCCTTTAGATATGTTGCAGACATTTTGTAAAACTTAATTCTAGGTTTGAAAGAAGAGATATAGTAGGAGACAATAAAGAAGAAATTTTACATAAAATTGCAGTGATACAAGAGAAAACAACATATGAGAGAAGGTGTAGTATTAGGAGTATACAAACATTGGGTAATGCATTTAATGCAGAAGATGAAGATGAAGTTTTTGATAATGTTTATTTAGGTAAATTAAAAAGTTAATAAGCGAAGTAACAATGTTGATACATTCTTTTTAAATATATATATCAATTTACTAGCTGATATGAAAGATGGAAACACTTCATCGAAGACGGATATTGATCGATTATCTATTTTGAAAAAAAGAAATGCTCTTTGCAAACCACATCTAAAGTCTTCTTATCCAGCTGAAATGCAATTCCATCCTCTACCGTTTTCAGAAGAAGAAATTAAAGTAGGTATTTTTTGCTATAAATATTCATGGTGATCACTGGTACATTTTTACTTTGTACATAATTATTATATTTATGTAAAAATATATGTTCTTATTTTTAATTTAATTATAGACAGGTTCAGTAGATGAGATGTTCAATGATAGTTTAAGCCAAAGCTTGCTTCCTGAACAGAAAGTAAAAAAGAGGGACAGAACTCAAGTAAGTGGTTAAAACAAATTTATTCAAATTTCACTTCTAGATTAATACTGTGAATCTTTACTTGTTCCTTGTAGACGTCATATAAAAAACCTGGACCTCCAACGCCCAGTAAAAATGGTGGAAGATTATCATTACAGGTAAGTAATAATAATTATTGCATATATAATACACAGATATAATATGTATTTATTTACTTAAAAATTTAAGGGTAATGAGTTGAAAAGCCCTAATTCAAGGATATTAAAAGAAAGAAATAAAGAAAGGGCAACAACGACACCACGCACATTAAGAAGTTTGTTCATTTCAAAACGCCAAGACGAGGTAAGCTATTTGTATTATTTGAAGATAATTTATGCACGTAATTAATTATATAAATATTATTTTTTACAGAATACTGTGGCTACACCAAAAGACCGTAGAAGAAGCAGTATTTTTCGTAAATACCGTGGTGCAAACGATAGGCAAAAGCTACCGCAAGTGTAATAATGATGAAAATCGTGATTGTAAAAAATAAGTACCTATTCAAGTTTTATGCGAAGTTATAATTGTACAGTACAAGATATCAATATGCAATCTGCAAATAGAATATTATTTTAAATAAGCAGATGTGAGACAAACATTTTTTATGCATTATAATTATTTATTTAAGTAGTAATTAAATAGTTTTATAGTAACAATAATATTTAAAAATTTTATCGATATAAAAATCCTGACATTAAGAAATATATCTTTTTGCATGTACATTACAATACAGTCAAATGAAAATATATATGACTCTGAATAACAAAAATAATATTTTATAAAAATGAATTTAAAGAAACTTTATAATAATCGTGTTAAAAATGAACATGAAATTTGACAATGAACGAGTGGTTTAGCTACTTCGTATTGTACATGTAACTAATTAAATTCCAAAGCTTATTTGATCTAATATGTCTTATAAACATATCACAAATCACTTCCCTTTAGAGTATCTCCATCTGGGATGTACTATTGTTCTATTGTACTTCATTACTCAGAATCGGACTCCTACGATGAATGTGTTTTAATATTTGAACGTTACTGATAAATTTATTACAACTTACCATGTACTGTCCTTCTATGTAACGGCCAGAATTTCTGGAAGTTCTTCTCAGTTCTCTTGGTTCCATATGATCCTGACTTCGTCGTCTAAAAAATTCAAATTGTTTTAAGTACTTTAGAGTGCATAAAAGTGGTATCAATTAATGAAATTTAACTACTTACGACCTCGATTGGATTTGTAATGTTTTAAGTTTATTATCTATGTCTTGAGAAGGACTGGTAGACGCATCTTCGATAATTGCCGTTGGAGATGCCTGCATTTGTGTAGTATCGTTGGTTTCATAAAATCCGGATGCCCTAGATCCACGATTTATTGATACTTTATTAACGGCTAATCTGAAATACAGATTCGAGCTAATGGTACTACAAAGCATCAAAATCCTATTCGATACAAATTAAGTGAAATAAGTTCATTCGCTGTCTTCAAAATATTTTGCAAAATTATTTCTTCGAATAAATGTATAGAGAATATTAGAGAATAGAGTATATGTTACTCACTGATGTTTTCTTGCGCCTCGTTTCTTCTTGTGTTTGCTGAAATAAAAAGTTCTCATTGATGGAAATGTATCGGAGCTAGTTCTCATAAGTAAAGAAGGGACAAAAATTAATATTAAATAACTTCATTTGTTCACACGTATTTTTCATGTAAGACGAACATATGCATATATTACAAAATTCCACTTCATGTACATACGTATTCAATGCACTTGGTCATTATGTCCGAAGCAATCCAGGTATTAACAAACCAAACACCTAAAAACATTTCTGTAATATTGTGGCGATTATATAGAGAACGGCGTGTTAGAAAAACGAGGGAACTAAAAAAATCCGACGTTGAAAACAAGAAAGATCGAGTTAAGTTTGTTACATTTCCTGCAAATTTTAACGAGTGAAAATAAGCTGCGTAAAATAATGGTGTCACTTATTTACTGTGGATTTTTAATTTTGATAAGCAGGATCTAGGAACTTACAGGAGTAAAGGGTCTTGTTTGAATTAATATAACATGTTCATTATATCTATCACCAATTTGTATATTATCAATATATAAACAGAATACAACATATTTTAAACTTACTTGGTTTTAAATTCTTAGGCTCAATAGAACACACATCGTTCTCTATGTACTTTTTTTTTGTCAGGTGTTCCAAAAATATTATCATTTTCATAATATTATCATATATATTTTTATATTACTGTTTTTTATACTAGCTTATAGGTGAGTTATTTAAAAAGTAGGCGGTATAAATAATAGATTTCATCAATTCCATGTACAATATTTACGTATTTGGACATACGTTTAATATTTAATTTGTTAGTTTGACAATATGACATACGTATATATACATATACGTGTATATATGTATATATGTATATGTATATGCATTCTCAATAATTCCTTACATTACATTGAAAACAGGCACCAAGAAAAATAGACCTCATCAATTCCTTATACAATTTTTGCCCCTTATTAGAATAGAATATATTATATAGTTTGCTAAAAATTCTAACTCTTAGCTTGAATAACGATCAGGTAGCCTGCAACAAGCGATTCATAAAAGATTACTACCCATGCAAACACAAGAAATTTATGAATTTATGTAAAATCGCCAATAATAACGGATATATTTATTAATAAAATTAAGCACAAGCATGCAGTATCAAACGATAAAGTACAAGATGAGAAAACTAATGAAACCGCAGTATTTTCAAGAATTAAACAAACTTTTTTTAATTTATATACATGTAAGCTTTAAATTAAAATATTAGTACATTTATTTTATTTTTAAATCATATAATGAATATTTTCAATAAATTATTAAGACTGTTTTACAATCTTTTAATAATAATAAAGCATACTTTGAAGCAGTAAAAGATGTAGCAAATAAAAACACATTGTTTATTAGTAATTAAATAATTGAATAATACGGATTTAGCATTCATTCATATGACAATCCAATACTAAAAATAATAAAAATGCACATTACATGTGCATTAAAGCAGTGATGGGCAGATCAGGTCAGCAAAGATGGAGTACCTTGAAAGAATCTAGGAAAAGCTGTCTAAAAACATCTTTAACTACAGGCTACTGTCCATTGATGCCCATCACTGCATTAAAACAACTACATAAGCGTGTAAATTAAAGTAGCTACATTTGCGAATCTATAACTATTTAAAGTGCTGATCATTCATAGCGTAAATAATAATATTTTGAAAGCAAACAAAGCGTGTTATATATATATTAAGATTATAGATTAATTTTGTTACAAATTTTTATAGAAACATATATAGCCATTACTTGCAAATATGCAAATATTCTACTTTTATCATTATTCTAACTAATAAGATATAAAAAATATGTTACTCTATTAGTTTTGTGGACACCTAACTCACCCAGGAAACTCATGATCAGAACCTTCGTCAGGCTCATCTGCTTCTTCTTCTTCTACAAAATGTACAAATGACAAATTAAGATAAAATAAAAAGATGTATTAACATAAATATATATAAACATTTTATTTGTAATTATGCACTCATTAACCTACCGGCTAAATGATCCTTTTTACGTCTCGTGTATGCTCGTTTACTCGTTACTGGTACTTGATCTGTTTCGCCATGTAACAAACTGTTTCTGTATAAAAGCAATGGCTGCCAATCCTCACCGCGGGAGGACGGCATTCCTGCTTGTAATCTTCTATCGAGGAAATTTAATCTGTAATACAAAGACCTTTATAATAAAGTACAAACGATATTAATGTAATACAAAAATGAAAGCTATACTCACACAACTCGTTTATCTTGTTTAAGAAGCTTATTCGTAAATTCGGATAAGATTTCAAGAAAAGATAAATTCGGTGGTGGTCCAGTAGGATCTTGCTCGATACCATCTGGCGGTGTGATTGCAAAAAGAACACCAGCTCGATGTAAAGCAGTTATTGCTTCGCGATTTTTTACAGCGTCTAATCCAAATGATAAAGCAAATCGTTTCGCAAGTTCCTAAAGAGTATAATTTAATGTTAATGACATAGAGCTAAATTTTATTTGTAAAATAGATCAATGGAAACAAACCTTAATGGCAGTAAACTCTTCACTATTTCTGTTCACTCGGCCTTTTTCTGCTACTATTTCATTATACAATATGTTCAAACTGTGTTGCATTGTTAAAGCACAATTTGTTTTATTGATATCTCTAGCTTTTCCTAATGTGGTTTTAATAATATCACCGTAATCGTTATAATATTTTACATAATGTTTGAACACATCTGCTGCCGCCTTTGTAGGTATCATATTATATACAATTAACTTACAATAACCAGCTAGAAAATTTCTTCTTTTGTGCAACTCTTCAATTTTTGAATGTTCATCGTGTTCATCTACAAATACATAGTATATTAGTATACATGAATATTTTCTTTTTAAAGAAAATACATATTATCGATAACATACCATCTTCTTCTTCAAAAAATACATATTCTTGGATGAACCGATTCAGCATATTCTGCATTGCTTGATCAGGTTCATACACTAATTGATGCATTAACGGATTAGAATGTGTTGTCAGCTGATTGCAAAATACTACTAACAAGTCACAAATTGTATTGTAAGCTTCTTCCCGTAAAATTGGAGGAGAAGGCTATAACAGATAACACGTATTAACATAGAAAGATCTTTAGAAAAAAAATCAATAGTAAAATGATACTTACAGTGCCATTTACATCTCCGCTAACAAAATGACGCATAGATCCCATAAAAGAGTGCAAGCGCTCTTTCAATTGTCGACATTCGTCTTCTCCTCGATTTCCAGAATCAGCAGCTTCCATAAGATGATTCTGTCCCCATAAAATTGCAAAAAAGCATGCACTTATACAATACTTAACTGCTTCATATGGTAAACACCTGGAACAAGATATAATTTCTTGCCACTTCATTCTTTTTGTGAAATGTATATTGAAATCATAATATTCATACCTAGCTGGATCTTTAGCATCTTCAATATCCTTGTACAAAGAATCCCATATCCCCCATGGGTTCATATTGTGACAGGAGTAAAATATTGAAACTTTTTTCAGAGATTGTACAACATTGAAAATTTCGTCTTCGTCAGGTTCTTCGTCACCTTCTATTAAATTTCTATACTCATCAATAGCTTCCTTATATTTATTTACAATAGAATCAATTAATGTTGAACGTGCCACGTCACACCTGCATTAAAACATACTAATAATTAAATGTCTCTTTTCTTTTAAGAAATTATGTCGTGAAACTTAACCTGGTAAAAATGGCATGCCCCTCTATACACATGTGTTCTAATGTTTTTGCGGCTGTATCTAATACCTCCGTATCATGCATCTTTTTCACAATCGTATGAATTTTATTCAACAACGAATCTAAATTTTGCTCTTGTCGAGACTTAGTGTAAATATCCAAATCGAAGTATTGAGGAATTGCAAGTAAATTTGCAAGCTTTTCTGGATCTGCTCTATATTTATCAAGTAAAAGAGGTAACGTTTGTATAAAATGCTCTGTTAACCGCTGTTTGTCGTCATGAACTTGTTTCATTTCTTTTGCTGACAATATCTTTCTGGTTGGTCCTCTACCTACTGGCGCTTCTCCTAATTTCAGAATTACAATTGGTGGTTTACATTTGCAATGCAGTTATATAAAAACGGATATAAAAAAATGATTTACCTGTAGCGGCTTGTTTTATACAACAGACCATTAATTCTATTAAAGACGTTTCTTTTTGATTATCTAAAGCTTCTTCTTCAGGTCCAGCCTCTTCTAACAATAGATCTGTCATGCATTCCCAATCCTTCATCATTTGATTTGTTTCAATTAAAGAATCTACCAAATAGGCTCCATGTTCATGCAGCTCCGATTCGATAAAGAATAAAACAAGATCTCGAATCAGTGGAGTATTTGGCAGACGTTTCTTTCCTCGTTTAGTTTTCACGCCTGCCACTGCTTCATCGTCCGGACGAAATAGACGTTCGTTTAAAAATTCACCCGCTGCCTGTGCAACAGCACGATGAGACGAATAAACAAGTTCGTAAACATGTTCACAATCTTTATCGGTAAGGATTTCTCTGTGATGCTTTAAAATCGAGATAACAAGTTTAACAGCTTGTACTGCTACATCGTACTCTTTATCTAATGTCATTGCAACAATCCTATCTTTGAATTTACTTGTGAAGAGTTCAAGTTTAGTCTTTAATTCTTCCGAAGCATACAACGGTTGCAAAGCTTGAAGGCACTTTAATCGAACTTCACCAACCTTGTCATGTAATGTCCAACCTATAAAATTACAGCAAATATATGTAAATACCGTATAGCGTAAAAGTTCGTGTATTAATATTATATTAACCTATATATTTTAAATAAGAGTCATCTAAAAAATTTTGATGAAATTTTTTCATCCAAACACCAATTTCTGCCATACAAATTGCACGTATTTCTGGCAATGTGTCTCTGTAACGATGTACGAACACGGATTTAAACATATATGTAAGCATATTTTTGATTTCGTCCATGTTCTCCTCAAGTTCTTTTCGTTTCGCCATTAATGATTCCAGTCTATCGGCAGCTCGTTTTTCTCTTGCTTTTTGTCTTTCGGCTTCGTATTGTCGCTGTGTATTATCCAAATTTATTGATACGGTTAAAGCAACATCTACTAATGCCGTCATAAGTTTCATAGCTAGAAATAATATTATTAACAATATTATATTTTTATTGTACAAAATATCATTCTTAATTATACCAAAATAATTTACCTGCAAGAGTAGCCGTATGTCTGAAAGCTCGTACTTGCGAGTCAGAAAGACCAGTTAACAATGAAATTACATTGTCCATTAAAAACTGGTCATAAATTATTGAATACTGACACTGCCGAACCAATATTTGTACAAACTCACAGAAATTTGCTCTAAATTTTTTCCACTGTTGCCCAGTCATTATTAAAGGATACTCCCCACTTTCCTGTATTACAAATTACAATTAATTAAGCAAGGAAACTTTATTTGCAAAGATAATCATTACTATACCTCATCAAATTCTTCAGTCATTTTACGAATTATCGCTACATGCTCCATTGTTGCTTGCATTTCAGATGTAATACGTCCTTTACAACCGCTTGCATTGATAAAAAACTGCATTAACATGAGAAGTGCATTTTCTCTATTACTTTTGTATTTTTCTATCCAATCATCAACAATAGCCTGCAAATATAGCAGTATTAATATGTAATTGAATAAATAAATAAATAATTTGTAAAAAGGAGCATGTAACATACCGTTAAAGAAGATCGATTGTTTCTGATGACATAATAAAGGCTTGCTTCATCTTCCAAACTATGTGAATGATGTGTTCTTTTTCCACGACCACGTCCTCCTCCTCCCCTTCCTCTGCCACTGGTAGTAGGAATGTAATCCGTATCTATTTCTTTATATTTTGGTTGTTGTATTGGACCACCTTCACACAAAGACAATTATCAAACAAAATTACTAAAGAAATAATATTATTTTCAGCCATACCACGTAATCTGGCACGTGTATTTCTTGTAATCCTCATATTAGTTGGAGTTGCTGGTGTCATAGGTTGTTCGAACTGAGTTTGAGTTTCAAAACCCCCTGTTTGTTCTTGGTATTGCTGTTGTGATGTACCGGGAGAGCTATAACTCTCAGATGAATAATGTTCAGGGCTAAATAAAAATAAATATATATCAGTTTATTGAAATATGACTATATCTATATCTAAAATTGTCTTTAACATATTTGCTATCAATTGTCATACACAGATGCCGTAAGAGCTATCCACAGTGCACTATTTATGATACTAGATAGTATTTTTCAATACTATGTATCTTGGTACATGTGTAGTATTACAAAAAGTTATAAAAATTTTTATTTCAAATGTGGAGAACCATTGTTCCCTTAGACAGCAGTAACAAATGTGTTAATAGATAAATTTTTGAAACTGTGCATACGTTGGATTATGTATAGGTGTCTGCGGTGCTTGACTGTACGGTGCATAATTGGAATAAGGTTCATTAGCTTCGGCTGAATTATCATTTATAGGAGTCATTGGAGTCATTGGTGCCTCATATTCTGGAGGAACTGGATCATCCATGCGTATTCGTTTTCCTCCTCTTCTATGCATCATTTTGAGGCCTTTTTTATATATTTACCCCTAAAAAAAAATGTCACATTACTTTTATGAATGAGAAAATCATTTCGTTTATCTCAGAAAAATACCGCCAAATATTTCATGGCAACAGTTTGTAAACACATAAAATTGTGAGTCGTTTCAAACCTGTAAAAAGACTCCCCGACGAACGCGGGGATTAGGGATGCATTCGGAATCTTATATTTTTACAATTTATGAATACATTTAACTAAAATGTAAATTACTTTTAACGAAATGAAAGAAACACATTGACATAATTCTTCAAATAACCCCGGCTTCTAATGAATATCAGTAGTAGTGGTCTTACGTCGTATGTAAATACATATCAGAAACTACGATGATTGGTTATATATCAAAATATGAAATAAAACGATCTAATAACAAAGTACAATGTACGTTCAGTAATTTTTTATTTACATTAGCTGAATTATATTTAAAATAAAATTTCTTTGTAATATTTAATAATTCATCTATTGGTTTCTGAAAATTTTCACGAATAGCATCGTACAACTCGAAATTATCAGAGCGATGTCTATCTACAACTTGTTACCTTCATGATCTTATACACGGCGAAGAAAAATAAAGAGAAGCAGAATAATAATGTGCGGGTTACGTGAATCCCATTGCTCCTTCAGGTTAAATATTAAAATTTACAGGATATCGAAATCATGAAACTTTCTGGCCATTCGATATATATTTCGGCCATAAATGCAGGTGCAGCTATGGTTTCCCTCCAAAAAATGGCGATTAAAAAAGAGAGGCCTGTCCACCTGCAATATCAACCGAACATTGACACATGTTATGACAAATACACAAACATCGGTAAATAATATAATTTTTCAAATAAATACTCACTTCTAAGTTTACTTTCAGAGAAATAATAATGGACAAAAGTTATAATTAATTAATAAAAAATCATATTTATCGACCATTGAACAACAATTATCGATAGTTTTCAATATGATCGACTCTGTACTGAAATACCAACTCTAGGTAAAGTGGAATACCAGAATTACCATATCGATTAAGACAAGTATTAAATAACAATATCTTTAATGGATAAAATAAAAAATGAATATACTTATAAACATTTGTTACAATAAAAGAAATTTTAAGTATGTTAAGATACTTAAAATTTAAAGTATCTTATTATAACAATTAAAAAATGTGTAAAAGCTAGATAAAGAAGTATAAATTTCAATAGATAAGATAATAATTTAATAAACATTTATTTAAAAAATTAAAATTATTATAAAAAACAAATTTACAATGTATAATTATCACTAAATATAAAAAAATTAAACTAATAATAATTATTTATAATAATAATATGTTAATAATAGTAATAATAGCAATAATTTAATTGTTAAATAAATAAAAGATCATAAATTATGGAAAAATGAGTTGCAATATAATACTCGACGAATATTTTGTATCATATCCACGTATAAAATATGTATACACAACAAATTTCAACATATGTAGCAGTTGTTCATCGAATAAATAACTAAAAAAAAAATAATTATGCAAAAATTAACATTAAACCAACGTTGGTCAGTTGCAGACGGTGTGGTTGCATATCACAGGTGCTTCACCCTCGTCGGCCATTGCAAATTGCCTATCCCCTCACGTGATTGGCGCATCGTCCTGATTGGGTATTGCCAACTCCCTATCAGCGCACTTGAGAGAGGTCGCGTGGGGATCAGTCTTGTTGTTGGTGCCATGGAGGTCGGACGTCGCCTGTCAACACTTACCGGTACGAGTCAAGGATACAATTAATTGACTTTGCACTCATCTACGTGTTATCTAGTCTAATAATACAAGTGTTTAGTGTGTTTTATTAAATATTTTTACTTAAATACGTGGGTGTATTAATACGATTTGTGGTGTGATTCAACAAGTGTCATGGACTTTAATAATGCATTCCGCCAAGTGATTGCGCATGCGTATACGGATATATTAGTGTGTTTTATGGTGCGGTTATTTAAGTGATTTACTGTTTTTTTTTACGGGTTTTACTGTGTTTTGTGGAGTGGTTATTTAAGTGATTTGACATATTATTACTGGTGTTTTAGTGCATTATGTAGAGTGGTTATTTAAGTGATTTGACAAATTATTACTGGTGTTTTACTGTATTATGTGAAGTGGTTATTTGAGTGTTTGGACATATTATTACTGGTGTTTTACTGTATTATGTGAAGTGGTTATTTGAGTGTTTTGACATATTATTACTGGTGTTTTACTGTATTATGTGGAGTGATTATTTGAGTGTTTTGACATATTATTGCTGGTGTTTTAGTGCATTATGTAGAGTGGTTATTTAATTGTTTTGACATATTATTACTGGTGTCTTACTTAGTGCATTATGTAGAGTGCTTATTTGAGAGTTTTGACATATTATTACTGGTGCTTTAGTGTATTATGTGCAATGGTTATTTAAGAGTTTTAACATATTATTACTGGTGCTTTAGTGTATTATGTGAAATGGTTATTTAAATGTTTTGACATATTGCTACTGGTGTTTGAGTATATTTTACGAAGTGGTTATTTAAATATTTTAACAAACTGTTACTGGTGCTTTTTTGTGTATTATGGAATGATGATTTAAATATTTTGGCATGCTTGTACTGGTGTTTTACTGTGTTTTACAATGTAGTTATCTATGTGTTTCGGTATAAATTTGCAAACGTTTTAACCTGTACCATGCAATAATTATTCAAGTGCTTTGACATACTTTTTCGAATATTTTATAACGTTTCACTGAGTGACTATACGTTTTGATACACGTTTGCAAATTTATTACCAGTTTTTGTAATGTAGTTTGCATGCATGTTTTTCAAAGTTAAAAAAACCAATCGAAATGCAAATTGATAGACAGTTACTAAATTGTTGTCCTGCTATGATTACAGAAGGCCACTCTGCCAATCCAATGGTCACTCTGCCAATCCAATGATCACTCTGCCAATCCAATACCAATCCAATGGTCACTCTACCAATCCAATGGTCAACCTCCCAAACCCAAACGTTGCCAAAGCAGTCCAAACCAATCCAAAGCAGTCCGAAGCAGCACGAATCTGATGCTCTGCCGGTAAAGCGATCGCAGTGGCGCAAGTCAGCGATCGGTGAGTCGCATGCTTTA